GTCAGGTGCGAACTTTACGACCTGGGCGATCTTCTCCTCGGGCAAACCTGGATAAAACATTTGATTGTTTAGAAACATTTTGAAAACTTTTGAAGGTCGTGACCACATTGGGACAATTCATCGAAACCTGTAAGTTTTAAGTAAGTACCTATTCTGGTAATTTGCCATTCCTATTTATGGTTTACACAGCTATATTTGGGACAGTCCGCATGACAGAACGTAATACATGTTTAAGTAAAATTCGATCTACGTAAATATTGAAATCTAAAATACCCAAAATCTTGGGCACCGTACATGTTCGCCATGACTGTATATAACCAAAAAGCGTAGGTATGCCCGACTTTTTACGCACGCCTGACAACCCTAGGAAAGCGCATACGTACTTCTATTTCCGATTAGTTTATAAACTTTAACACCTTTTTGAAAGTATAAGTACCTCTATTTGGAATACAATTTATTAAAATTCCTTTTTTATTAAAATTAAGTACCTTACCTAATCCTCTCTAGATATGGCAGTCTAACGACTATGTATTTGAGGGCGGGGAGTCGGGCGTGAAATTTAAAAAAATATTTGTCGTTTTATGAATAGCACCTACAAAAAGCGTCTTCCGTAGGTATCCAACTAAAAATATTATAAAACGTTAAGTAACTACTAACTATAATAAACCAATTCGAATTTTGAATGGAGATTAACCGAAATAAAGACTGAAAAATTATTAAACAGAATTATATTCGTTAAAATTATTGGCTATCAGGTTTTTAGCGATCAAAGAGGATAGGGTTATATCGTCATTGTATCAATTTGTATCCAGAGACGTAAGTTTGATAATGACTTATCGGATTATGTAGTTAAAGATACAATTAACGAAAGCAAGAGTTTTCTAGAATAAAATGGGTTACGGCAAATTTAAAGTTCCTTAATAAGTACCTAAATTTATTTATTTTTATTAGTTTTGAAATTTATAAAAAAAATAACATAAATTAAGTTCCGAATTATTAATTAAAACACACAATCTTTACGCAAAGAGATCTAAAAAGACTAACTACCTACATTGTATAAAAAATAAATAGTTAGGTACTTATCTAAATAAATATTTCCATTTTTAAATTTTAATAACGGAAGTGCTGCACAATGGTCTTGGAAAAAGTGAGAGTTTTCTATTCTAATTTGAATTTGGAAACATACCGACAGCACGGAGAAATCCATCGAAGTTCTCCTGCTTCACAAATTTGTAGTTCTTGTTGAGGTAAGACATTTTGGCTTGACTCTTCTTCCGTTTGACGATAGAATGTGAAAAAAATCACGGCGCTCACACTTATATCCGAACCCTAATCTACAAAGATATGATAAACTGCCGTTGGATTGATATTACGATCGAATGATTCGATTTTGATTTAGTTTTCAAATTTGGAACAACGAATTTTAATGTCGGAAATGAAATCGTGATTCTTGTGCGTTTTTTAAAAAAGGACGTCTATTTTTAGTGGGATGATGAATAAGTTTTTTTTCGGAACAACTCCTTTGGGGTGTGATGTGTAGGGTTACCTATGTGAATTTGTATGTTTGTAAATGCAACTGCGACTCGGAAGAAAATTTTAGTGTAAACAAAATATGGCGTTAAGAAATATAATATGTACGTTAAGATGAATAATGATGCGTTTTTTTATTAATTAAATTTTCAGAGTAATCAAATACTCCAATTTCATTCTTTTTAAATCTTTGCTATACTGCTTCTGTTTTAAAATTCGAATCGAATATCATTCAAGTGATTGTATTTACTATATTTTTAATTCAGTAGATATCTATATATGTTTTAATTTCTGTGATGTTTAATCGGCATTTTTTTGAATCCTTGATCTAAGTTTGTTATTCTTTTGACTTAATGTTTATTCGTGACATTGTTCTTGCTGTTGTTGTTCGTTATATGCACACGAAGTCGCAGGCAAAAAAATGCAAAGGCCTTAACCTTAACCTTAACATTATTTGCATTGTTCCAAAGAGCCAATAGACCACTACAGACGTTGCCCTATAGGGCTGATGTTCAGCCGGGGTTGCGGGGTAAGCGCAATGAGGCACCGTGACCTCGGCCCAGAGCAGGAGAAGGAACAGGGGGGTTTTTAGTCAGTAAGAGTCTGACACTCCCTCCCGCTCGGCCCTGGGCGGGAGAAGTCATTTGATGATTTTCCCCTCATGAAAAAAAAACGTTATTTGCATTGTGTTCTGCTGGCAAGGATTTTTGGAAAACCCTACAAAGGCCGGCTACGCACCTGCAACTCCTCAGGTTGGTCATTATTGCAGGTGTCCATGAGCGGCGCTAATTATTTACCATCAGGTGGTCAATCTATTAAATATGGTCAATTTATTCGATTCGAACCAGCAGCACCAGAAACAAACTATAACATAGATGTATTATTTTTATTTATCGATCAAATAAGTACAAAGGAAGTTTTACGACGTCAAAAATGTCCGACAAAACTATATGTACACGTAGTTTGTCTGTTGGATCAAAATTTTTTAATAAACCTTCGTGCAAAAAAATTAAAGGATAATGCCGAAAAAAGGAGTAATTCATAATAATTATTAACTCAAACCAGGTATCTTGATCAGCATACACACTTGAGCAGCGAGAAAGGAGAGAAGGGATGTTTTAATTAGTTATCTCAAATTATATTTCAGCAAGGTCAATATTAACTGACGTGGCCTACTCAGTTTTTATGAGATCATTCTTGTCTCTGAGTCAGTCAGACAGTCAGTGGCTTGGTGGACTTCGATTCCATAATCTAATCTTATCGATAATTTTGTAATCAATAGCGCCAGTTACGAATTCAGAATTAGAGGTTCTGGGTTCAATTTCCGGTTGAAATTTTGTTGAGTCAGTTAGGTGGTGTTGAAGAAACAATTTGCACTTTGAAACGAGCGATTAGCTTTACTGAGCGTTCCGCATAGGTTGTACCTACGTATTACGGTCAACTGGCGTACCAGACGCCATTAATTGGTGCCTCGGAAAAATATTGTTATGTTTTTGTAAATATCATCGTCATCGTCATCATCATCAGCCTGATAAACTTAGAGATTGATATTTATTTATTTAAAAGCTTAACAAAAACTATTGTTCGTATGGTGGTCTTAATGTCATGGCTATTCTCGACCAGAGAAACCATACATTTATACTTACTTACTTTTATATTTATATTTATTCAAGCCTATATTGTTGATGTTTGTGGTTAATCTAACTTATTAACTAACACATCCGTTTTCCCGGTATAGTGACCAGCGTCCTGTGACACATACTTAGGTCTCTTCCTGCTTCTTCCACTCTTCTCTGTCTCTAGCTTTTCTTTGTAGCTTCTCTTATTTTTCTTATGTCCTCTTTTCACCTTTTACTATCGTGAGGTAGCCAATCTGTTATGATTTTAGTCTATTTTATTCTGCTGTCTGTATATAATCTCTTGTGTGGGAAAGCCAAGCTTCGGCGCGATAGGGTCGGCTATACCACGGCCTCACAGAAAACCCGCGTGAAACAACTACAGTGTTGTGTTTCGTTGTGTGAGTTAGGTTAGAGGAGACCCAATTCTTCTACTTCTTAAAATGCATTATATACTTACTGCAATTCTATTGCATATGCAAAACTATTAGTAATCATGATCGCACTGACTCTGCCAATCTTCCGAAGTAGGTCTTGAACCTCAATATTGTAAATGAGTAAGATTAAATATGGATCACGTGCAATCACAGACTAATTGTTGAAAAATTCGTTCGAAATTACTTAGAATACGCTGATACTGTCAACAAAACAAAATACAGACCATGACTGAAAAATATAGTGAATTTACAAGGCTCCACACTACACAATTATGCACTGTAATAACACTTGTTTTGTTCACAAAAATTTTAAATGCTCTAAAAACATTTTTTCCAAGTCCCATGGTAATCTTGCCCTACATTATTTAATTTCTAACTGTTCTGGGTGTGTTTAAAAACATACTATTTCACAAACACATCACACCCAGACCGGGATCAACAATAATTAGTAAGTTACACAAAGTTCTGTGCGAGCACCGAAACCACGATACTACTTTTTACTACTGCTACCATTACTCAAAAAGTTTAAAGGAGGTAGAAAGAATTTGTGACTAAACTCATTATTAATAAATTAAATAAAATTAATTCTTAGTTTTGGTTATTGATCTTTATCAATCAAATATATTGTGTTATTTAAGTAATTGAAACAAAAGCTAAATTGCCTAATAGTAATAAAAGAACAGAAAAAATACATATTAATTATAATGACGTGTATACTTGCGGCCAGCCCCAGCTTCGCATAGATTAGTTAGTTAGAAATAAACTCTGATTAGATCCGAACTAACCTAAATTCCAACTCTACTTTTCTTTCATAAATACTTACTACATTCAAACAAACGCAACAAAAAAGTATCAGCAAAATCGATCCACCGTTCTCGAGATTTGCGCTCAGCGATAAATATGTATTTGGAATAACGTTGTTAATTAACTGTAGAGATAAAATGACAAACAACAACTATATAACTTATCCTTTTCAAGAATATCTGTCGTGGTAATATCTAATCTACGGCATAGATTCCCTACAGCCATGACGTAGAAAGCAAATCCCTTTGCACCAAAAGGACAAGGCTCTGGTATGGTGCAATTCTCGTTGTTACTTTTCATTAGTAATTTTTTTTATCTTAAGGTTATCTTTTGTAAGTGAGATTAAAAGATAAATCAGTTTAGAATTATATTTAGACATTTATAATCAGTATTCTGTAAATCCAAAGTGACGATATCAGGTAAAATGCGGTCAGTCATCGATAGTTCTGGATGTTTTCATTGTATGTATGTAATATTTTAGTTACTATAAATATTGTATAAAAGTAGTACGTTTGTTTGGGATGAGACAAAATAAATAAAATAAAGCTAAAATATAAAAAAATGAAAAAGGTTTTATTATCAACTTACAATAAATAATTAATTAATTATACTTAAGATAATAAAATACATAACTAAAAGGTAACTTTTGTTGTAACTTATGCAGCCTTGTAGAATCTCTTGGCTTCGCCGTCCCATTTTTCGATTTTCATGGTCTGTAAAATTAAATAAAACATATTTAGAAATCAATACAAAAAATATTTCTAGAGTCAATATTATACATTGGACCTATTATAGAACCTTGCGACACACCAACGATAAAATCGTATCCAATAAAAACTACTTAAAAGAGTAGCAAGAGAGCTATTATTATTTAGTTTTATTTTTTGTTTAACAATACTAAAGAAAATTGCCAAAATGAAAACGTTACCCTATATTTGAACTCCACTGATCAAAAGCCATTGTTGATTCCAAGAATATGACTTAATTTGTTTTGCTATGTCATATCTTTTTTACACTAGCATTCTGGTCTGTACTTCGAATTGCTGTGAGTAAGTATAGTAATACTGAGACTAGTCAGAAACTCACCAAGACAAGGTCATCACCGTTGAATTCCCTTTTGAAGGTAGCGCTGCCCTTTTCGCTTTTGATGACCTGTGTGACGGTGTTTCCATCGACTGTGTATGTGCTCTTGACCTGAAGTTAAATAAATCAAATTAAAGCAAATACCTTTTTAAAAGCAATTTATATGAGATGGGTCTTACATCTCCTGGGACTATTTTATTTATACATTTCGTCGTCGAAACTAAACATAATTTCAACTCAATCAGTTTAAAATATCAGAGAAAAATTATTTCAAAAAATTACACATTCTGCAAACATTCATTTACATACAAACACACACTTAAAGAAAAATCTGACATCATTGTTCCTTTTCTTTAAATGTATATAAGCATTGACCTATTTGGTTATTTAAAACAAAAAAGTTGAATATCAATAATAAAAGCTAGTATTTGAGATTTAAAAACAATGTTTACAATAACAGTCTATATTCTGAAATGTTAGTTATTCCACCAGTTCTTATTTTGCTTTTATAAGTTTTAAGCTTGAATAGATGATCGCCAACTTAGATGTTTATCTAAAAATAATGAGGGAAAAAGGTAATAATATATCGATAAAATACTTACGGGAGTCTTATCCTCGCCAATGACATCGTCGAATTCCACTCCAGACTTGAATTTGACTTCAGTAGGACCTGAGGACCTGACGGAGGCGTAAGTGTAGGTGTCACCGTCCTTGGTAAGCTTGAAGTCAGGAGCGAACTTCAAAACATCTGGAATTTTCTCATCGGGAACGCCTGAGAATAGAAGATTAGCATTAGTTTAAGTGTGGGAGAGCCCTGCTCGGCAATGGGTCGGCTTGACCGGGGTAATACCACGGCCTCACAGAAAACCGGCGTGGAACAACCTCAATCCCTAATCCCCAAAACGTCGGCAACGTACTCGTAAATCCTGTTGTGGCGGGTAGTAGTAGTCCGTCGGACGTGAAACACGTGGCTATCTCTTAGATTTATATGATACCAAATAAAACAAAATCTATGAATCACCATAAATGTGGCATACGAATGAATCATAAGCCTTTGCAATATGTGGCACTAAAATAGCTGTTTACTGGACCATAAAAAGATTGATTATAGGAAATAATCTAGAAAAAGTAGCTTTCCTTAAATCACCGTAAAGTGTTAATGGTATACATGATCAAATTATTAGAGTTTTCCATAACTCTAGTAGATACAAATAAATTCTTAAAAGGTAAAGAGATTGCATACATATAACACACACAATCTTAATACACAATATCAGCATCATGAACAAAAAATACTATAATAACTAAAATTGATTGCATCAGACAATGAAGAAAATCAAAAACCAATATTTCTGGAACAGTGTTCTATGATAACTGATATGTAGGTAAAAGATAGTCCCACTAATACTACCAAAACTTTTTATCAGGATGGATTTTTGTTACTTAACGTACATATGTAACGTAGAACGATTTTGTTGAAAATGGGCACAGAGATAGATTTTGGACTGCAACTACAGATGCGGATAGCACGGACAAAGCCACTGACAGAAGCATCTCAGCAAGTCTCAAACAAAACGAAATTATTGACTTTATGGAAACATCAACAACTCTATTAAATTTCTACATTGTTACATTAAAATTAAAAATACGCATCACTTTCTTTTTCTTTTTTTAAAACGTTGTTCTACATTAGGATTTTCTCCTGTGTCGTGGGTGCGGTTACAAAAATACAATGTCACATACACATGACACCCAGACAAGGAACAACAATTTGTGGGTCACACAAAGAGTTATTCCGTGCGGGAATCGAATCCGCGACAAGTTGTATGGCAACCAGTCACCGCACCAACCGTGCAATCATTCAATCACTGACAACGATGAAGTGTTTAAACAATGCAAACTCAATCCAACTGAAGTGAACCGTAGGCAATTAAATATAAAAAATAACATTGATTGAAAAATAATAAACTACCCTCAAAAAAGGAAACTACTTAAAATAACACCTACCGACAACTTTGAGGAAAGCGTCGAAGTTCTCCTGTCCAACGAATTTGTAAGTCTTGCCAAGGAAAGCCATTTTGATGATATCAACTTTGTAACACAAATCAATAACGATGTAGTTACAAAAACTAGCTATATATATGCTTACAGTAATCTGTTTGATAATGATAATATTAGAGCCATGGAACGATTGGTAGATAACGTTGAATATAGAGAGAAAATATAGCTGAGTAATAATGACTAGTATAAGGATATTAAAACTGGGTTTAATTTTTTGCCATTATCACAGTTGAAAGGTCTTTCTTTTTAAGAATCCATGACTCTTCCGTTCGTGATAATTAAATGTTGTGTTTTGAAAATTATTCTACGCCTTTTTGACTACGGTTTTTTTTGGAAACACAAATATTTCATTATATAATTGAGGAAGCCAATAATGCAACCCATTAATCTATTGCATCATAATGATTGTCGATGCTGGCACTATTTTGCTTTAATTGTGTTTTCTTGATGGGTTGTCTTTGATCATAAAAATGTAAAACTTTAAATCCGCAGAGAGTATTTGCAAGCAATCATCCTAGTCCCAATCAAGGCATCACAAGTGCATTGTCAACCATAAAGGAATTTAATCACTATTGATTAATATCCTCCTATGCAGGAGAAACTGAAACATAGGAAAATCATTACATAGCTTGAGCGCCATAGAAAAAAAGACCCTAAATTCAGTGAGATTTTCTCTACTAATTGTTTTCACAAAAAAGTATAAAAGAAGATTTTCAGAATACTGAAAGGCGTAGTCACACGTTACATATACATACCTATCGTAGAACTTTGAGAACGTGTGACTACGTAGTTGGGTTTTAGTTTTGAGTAGAGTGTTGGAAGTTAAATATTACTACTAGAAACACCATGTAAATTGTTTTTTTTTAAATCGAACAAGGTTGTAACTCGAACAGGTGGTGTTAGTCATTGACAGATAAAGGTTTAGTTAAATTTATTTTATCTTATCTCTGACTAGAGGTAAACGTTAACTGTTGATTAAAAATGTTAACTTAAGTTTGAAGTACGGTTGTTATTTTTATAAAACAAGCTTTATAATTTTTTGCTCATTTACTTACTAATGTTTGACGAGGAACTCGACCAATTCCAAGTCAGGCTCATGTTCATGAGCAACATTGCGAAACAGTTACGTGAGTAAGTCGTTAATCGTTGTAAACCAATCAAGGCAGCTTGCGGGCAGGTGTTTTGCAGCGGCTACCGGAAGGCGTCACTAAGCTCTGACGCATCACAATATTCAGCATTATTGATATTATCAGAAAACGTTCCTACAAGACTTGTATCATTAGCTTGTTATAGAGTAATATCAACTTTCTGTCAGAAAGAATCGGCTATTCTTACTTCTCTAGCCACATAAGCATGAGTTATGTGACTTGTCTACGGATATCTTCTTTAAATTATGTATAAACCTCGTGACAACAAAGAAAAATTCGATGGTAAAAAGAAAAGAAGCAGGCTGGCTAAAACTTAGATGGATGACATAAGAAAAATAGAAGAGGTTACCTGGCCAAGAAACAGAGAAGAACTAGAGACAGAGAAGAGAGGAAGCACCTGGAAGAGACTCATATATGTCATAAGACACGCTGTTCGCAACCGGAAAAATTGAATTGATTACTCAATGTTGTGTATTAACTTAAGTTTGGGAGAGCCATGCTTCGGCATGAATGGGTCGGCTCGACCGGAGCGATACTACGGCCTCACAGAAAACCGGCGTGAAACAACCACAGCGTTGTGTTTCGCCGTGTTAGTGAGATTACCGAAGGATTGGTCCTTCCCTTCCTCCAGTTCCTGAATCTCCAAATCCCTAATCCCCAAACGGTTGGCAACGCACTTGTAACTCCTCTGTTGATGCGGTTGTTCATGGATGGCGCTGATTGCTTACCATCAGGTAATCTGTCTGCTCGTTTGCCGACTTATCACATAAAACAAAACTTATACACCACTGACATAAAGTGAAGAGAATTGTCGATAGGAAACCTGAAAGAATAAATTATAACTATAAGTTTAGAATCGCCATTCCACCCTGACCAAACGTGGTGAATATCTAATGCTCAAACCGTTTTCCGAATGAATAGAAATAGAAGAGCCCTTTGCTCAGCAGTAGTTACTTATAGACTGATTATAATGATAATGACATACTAGGATCTAAGAGGAAGGACCAAAATCTTCAATATTTTGGCTAGTGTGAAAGTCTGTCATTGATTCACTGTCTACATATTCTTTTTCATCTTGTTAACCAAAGGTAGTAAGCTTATTACTAAATAATAAAATTGAATATTGAAAACAATACTTGATAATTTTGAATTCACTTTTATCATAGTTATCGAAAACAAGTCATCGTGACTGGTCATCGTTTCGAGAAAATTGGGGGTTGATGATGAATTTAAGGCCGTATTATCTTTACTTTTCAGTTTGCTAAAGCCGATAATTGTATGAGTCATTGTCTCCTTTATTATGCACCAAGAAATTGCCCGTAAAAAGTCTCTTTTTGATGTAGTAAAATACTTAATGTGCCATTGTTGATTTATTTAGTTTTCTTAAGGCATATAATTATTCCCTTTAATTTTATAAAGTAAATAAATTTTGTTTTATTCATCACACTCCAAGTAAACGCCGACGTCCCAAACAAAAAACAAACCTATTGTTCTTCAAGTGTTCCTCGAAATATCAAGGTTAAAGTCAAAAATTTATTTATTAATCTAGCTCTCAATATTTTGACTTTACAGTGTTTTTGTTACATATGTTTGACGGAAAGGTATGTGATGAAATCAAATAAGGCTTCCAACGTACTCTCTAACTTACTGTGACTACAATCATGTTACAATTGATTTAAAATAATCAAATTCTCTTCGGATTAAATTGGATAATTTGTAGAACGCGGGGAAGTCGGTCGCACGCTGGCCCAGTCGTAATAATTCTTCCTTGTCGAAAAGGCACCGTCACCTCGGTAAAAAGTTAATAACTGTCTTCTAGTTCTTCTCCATTTCACCCAAGTCGGTACTAGCTGTTTTTGTCAGGGGAAAAGTAGCAAATTACTTCTCTCGGGAAGGCGAGAGAAAAAGTCAGACTCCTAGTGACTTAAAACCCCCACCTTCCTTCTCCTGCTTTAGGAGGCCGAGGCCGCAGTGACTCATTGCGCTTACGGGCGCGTGCGGACGCTACGTGGCGTACGCTCGGGTAATGACATACGTTAACACGGGCCAAAATATCGTAGATGATCTTCTGCCTCTTTGAATTCAAGTCAGTCATCATCATCATCATCATCAGTCTATAAGTGTCCACTACAATCCAAAGGTTTTTCACACTCTGAGAAGGTTTCAGCATACTACTCCTACGTTCGCTCAAGATGAATCGGCGATTTTATAGATCTAAGTATCCCCACAATGTTTTCCTTTACCGTACACTAGTGGATTATCAATAAACTGAGAAACTGTATTTATTTTAACTCAGAAAAGATCTCTCTCAGGAGGTACTAACCAAGTTTCGCACCTACACATCACGCATGAGATCGGGTGCGTGCCTAAAACCACAGCTTAAACCTCGGTGCAGCCACGTCATTATACATATATCCAAGTATGTAAAAGGGCGTAAATCAAACCATAGTAGGGATACTCACGAAATAAAAAAAATACAGGTATCAGCAATATTCTTTAATAATAATGGAAATAAATAAGTTACTAAAATAGAATAATTTAAAAATAAAAACACCCGAGGAATAGCGTCTGATTGTAAAGCTTGCCACTTCTGATGCGACGACGTGGGGTCACCTAAAGGAAGTCATGATGATGAAGGAGTATTGGTTATTCAGCCTTATAGAATCTCTTGGCAACGCCATCCCACTTGTCAACGGTGAGGGTCTGAAAACAATGAATATGTATAATTTTAAATATAGCGACAGCATTATCTATCAGATTTACAAACAGATCATCCTAATATGAAGTTTTGAGATTAACAAATTAGGTTGGAACAACAAAAATTATTTGATTTCATATTTATATACATATAATAATACAGGTGATCCATGTTTATTTTATACTTTCTCCTTATAAAAAAGAAAACAAATAAACATCAATTCGACTTACCACAATCAGATCATCGCCGTTGTACTCTCTCTTGAATACACCAACACCTCTGTCGGACTTGACAGTTTGTGTCAAGGTATTGCCTTCAACTACGTATGTGCTCTTAACCTGGAAGATAAAATATTGGTTATTTTAAAACAAATTGGTGTACAATACTTTTTTACGTTTTTCTCCTAGATCTAAATACGGACCTTCAGTAAGATCTACAGTGCATTTATTGAATTCTGGAGAACAGATTAGATTTCTTAATTATTTTCATCTCCCAAAAATATCACGTAAAATAATCTGATATTTAGCCCAAAATTATCACTATCTGTCTCCACTGAGATGTATTGGTTGAGGCTATAGTTGCATTGCAAGGTACGAATAAAACTTCGTTTAACTTCGTTTTCCGTGCATTGGCAAACGTTCGTTTTTGGATGTGAAATAAATAATGCAAACGTTCTTAGAACACAGGAGATAATTAGACTACAGAAGGACTGAATTATCATTCAAATTTGTAAGGAAAAGAAATGCACTTACAGGCGTTTTTGACGAACCAAGAAGTTCGTCGATCTCTTCTCCGGACTTGAATTTGATTTCTTTTGGCCCATCAGGTGATACTGTGTAGTAAGTGTAGGTGTCTCCATCCTTGGTCAGCTTCTGATCCGGTGCGAATTTCATGAGTTGTTCAAGTTTTTCTCCAGTCACACCTTAGATATAAAAGTTTCTAATTAGATTTCAATAATAAGAAAATGGGGCAGGCCTCCCGCTAGGTGGACCGACGACATCGTCAGAGTCGCGGAGAGCCAATGAAGGTGGCAACTTCTTGTTCGACGTAGAGAGCTAAGGGGGAGGCCTTTGTCCAGCAGTAGACGTCTTCCGTCTGATGATGATGATGATGATGAATAAGGAAACAGAACACATAGACAGTGAACCTGAAAGTTTTGAACTTACAACTTTTTCTCCGTGTGTGGAGATCATCATCATTTATCAACAGCCCATTAAAGTCCAATGCTGGTTTGTGGGCTTCTTTAACAAATGGGGGTTTGCCATAATCTCCACGATTGACAGTCGAGTTGAGATCGTAGTTTAAAACAATGAGGTTTATTAAATATCGCTACGATGGTACAATGACAAAATCTCTTAAGTTTAATGATATAAATAGAAAACTCACCAACTGCCTTGAGGAACCCATCAAAGTTCTCTTGGCTGACGTATTTGTAGTTCTTGTTTAGGAAAGACATGTTTGCAGAAGATCTTCCTGTCTACTGATTGTTAAGATTCTAATAATACAGTATTTATTATAGACATTAATCTCACTGATATGATAAGGTCACCAAAATGTACCTTAATTTATAATCAGTTCATTAAAAAAGTGCTTGCGAATGATGAAAGTTAAGTTTTTAAATGACTAATTGTATTTATTATTGTAGCCTTGTAACCTCGGATTGCTAAATATTTCTTTAGATGAGATGGGTAATAATTTTAATTTTTACGCTACGAACAACCATGTTTACATAAATAACCACTTTGCAACTCCCCCTTGAAAGCATTGTAATCTGAAAAGCAGTATAATATGTATGTTTTGCACACTTATAAATAACCTTTGTCACTATTGGTCGTCGGAGCGACGATTATTTGAATTGAATTTTGAAGGAGGTTTTATCACAATTCATCGGACGAGGGTACCATAAATCGTACTCTGGCGGAACGTCAAACTGGCAGTTCTGCGTGCGCATTATGGTGAAGAGCGTGCTCTGTGACTGTCATAGGAGACGGATCGCCGACGTCCGTTATTTTTGTAATTTATTCGGCCTGATTATAAAATCCTACGCCCTGTGATGGACTGTGAAGACGACGATCGGGATGTTGATGTTTGTACCAACCCCCCGGTGCCTTCAAGCATTAATACTTAACAAGTTTCGGAAAACCATACCATAAGTGTGTGAACCGTGTAGAAGTCTTGTTATAAATATAAATAATAATAAAATAATACTGAGAATATAAGAAGGGTGTTCCATCGTTCATGTCACGATTCTAAGGCATTTTGTGTCCTTGGAACAGAAAGTGTGTTATTGCCCATATTTTTAACAAGACTTCTACAAGATCTAAGGGTGTTGTCAAGCTGAAAGAAAAACTATCCATTTGGCAAAAGAATTCCCCTACAACGAGTGCTATCGGCGAAAGATTCGTGCGTTTAACCAATCGTCGTTGAAGAGTGTTTTTGGTGTACCGTAACATCGGCGAAGGATTCATTCGGACTACCAACCGTCGATGAATAATGTTATCGGCGAAACGTTTCATCGGCCAATTATTTTTCGTTCAACTAACTGTCGGAGTAGAGTGTTATCGGAAGACCGTCCTTTCGGTGAAAGGTTTTTCGGAATACCATACGGAGCTCATTTACAAAATTAGGTAAATGATTGATTAATAAATCATATTTTTATACGAATGGTATTTGATTGGGGCAAATTAATAACGCTTAAATAAACATTTGCCTTCCATTAATTCATTCAGTCATAGAGGCAAGCAGAATAGTAGGTCTCGCTATGAATGAATCTAAAACAAAGGTAATGACAAACAGGGAAGAAATAGCTATAACATTGGATAATTCAAATATTGACTATGTGAGAACCTATACATACCTAGGACTGTGGGAGAGCCATGCTCCAGCACTAATGGGTCGGCTCGACCGGAACCACGGCCAAATAGAAAACTGACGTGAAACAACTACAGCGTTGTGTTTCGCCGCGTGAGTGGGGTTAACGGAGGACCAATCCTTCCACTCCCCCAATCCCTCCTCATTCCCAAAATCTCCAAATCCCTAATCCCTAAAAGGTCGTAACTCCTCCGTTGCGGGTGTCCATGAGCGGCGCTGACTGCTTACCGTCAGGTAATCCGTTTGCTCGTTTGCCGACCTATCACATAAAAAATCTTATACGTCTAAAGGACCAACATCGTTGAAATTATGGACGCCTAAAAATTTTCATATGACAATAAATAGTTATTTCTAGAACATAGTATAGGTAGAATTTTATAATTGACGCTACTGGTGACAATTTTATCATCTAAAGCTGATAGGGCTAAAGGCTAAGACCGTCATAAAGCATCATAGATAATATTTTTTAGTTAATTATCTTTGCTATCAATACTGTCCTTTATTGTGATAATGATAAGGATGATGTTGATATGGAATAAAAAGTGTTAAAATTGAATTAAAAGGAAACATTTTGTTGAATGAGGTAAACTAATAAATAAGGGCCAGTGCCAGGGCAGTAATTTGAAACTATCTACAACATACACTACATCTTATGCAAACCATTTTTTTGCCAGGTATAAAAAAATGTAGGATCCAGTAAAAATCATCACTAGTCTGCTCGCTTGTCTAATGATATTATAATTAAATTAGAAAAGTCTCGAGCATTCGCTCCGATTTCAGAAAAGCGACTTAGATTTGTTATTATCATACATTTTTCAAATTCATCTGAGTCTCCAGGTCTAATTAAAAAACAATTCATCTTCTAGCTATCCGATCAAATTGTATTGACATTATCATTCATCAATATGATATAATGCGTATTTTATTTTATTCGAAAGTGATTAGTTTAGTTTTTCTTTATTTAGTTTCTATGCACTGAAGCTTTTTAGCAACTGATATTATCAATATAGACTCGTGATTTTTCCTTGGAACAACTGCATTTTTTTCAAAACATGGTGTATAGAATTTACCTTTTACTTATTTCCTAAATTCTTCCAGTATCTTCGAAGCGTAATCATATTCAATTATTTGTTTTGATGTGAATGAGTAACCTCAACCATATCCAGTAATGCTTAAAACTTTCGCGCTTATTACATTAGTAGGATTAGAGGAAAAATAGTTCGTATGCATACATAAAAGCCGTGAAAGAAAAAACAAGGAAATAATTAAGTGATAGTTATCACTTTATTAAAGAAATAAATTAAATTATAACTAAATGTTTGTTGGTTGGTTAATTCATTCAGCCTTGTAGTATCTCTTGGCAGCGCCGTCCCATTTGTCGAGCGTAACAGTCTGAAAGAAAGAAAGAAAGAATGTAAATGAATGAAATAGGAAAACAAAAAATTGCCATGGCCATAATATGGAACCTTGCGGCACTCTTTTTGATAATCAACGTTAAAAATAATAATTCCATGACAAAAAGCGCTTGTTATTGAAATAGGCAGACTAATACCTACATTTAATCTAAGGAAAGTCATTAATCACTGATATTTTTTTAAGGTTAGTACTCACCACAACCAAATCGTCTCCGTTGTATTCTCTCTTGAAGGTAGCAACTCCAGCGGCTCCCTTGGCGGTCTGAGTCACTGTGTTACCGTCAACAACAATTGTGCTCTTGACCTGGGTAGTAGAAAAAGAATTACTTACATTACTGTTTAACAAAGTCACCGAAGCTTTTTTTTCGAATGTTGAAAACATATAAATTTGTGATATTCGTTGCTAAGTTAAATTGTACCAATACCACTGCTAAACTTATTATATTATCAACACTTTTCTACTCAATTAATGCAGTTAATGCTCGTGTAAATTTTCTGATGTTACGGAGTGCATGGGCAGCGCTGATTGCTTACCACCAGGTGATCCATCAGCTCGTTTGTCGGTATATTATACAAAATACGTATGTCGGCAATAAACATTTCATCTACAATGTTTTCTCAAAGTATCCTTCCTTACATTAGGATTTTCTCTAGTGGCGTAGGAGCGTTTATAAACATACAATGTGACATACACAAACCATTCAAACCCAAAACAACAATTTCTGGATCACACAGATCTTAAGAAAGAAAGTGTTGTTCCGTGCGGTATCGAAACCGCGACACGTTGCACAGCAGTCAGTTGCCCACTTACTGCGCCAATTGTGCAGTCATTAAATCAAAATTAGTGAAACATCTTAAGTACTATTACACTTACGGGAGTCTGTTCAGTTCCAAGTTTGTCATCGAATTCAACTCCGGACTTGAATTTAATTTCCTTAGTGCCCAGAGCACCAGATACAATGTAAGTGTAGGTGTCACCATCCTTAACGATTTTCTGGTCAGGTGTGTACTTCAGAGTCTTTTCGATTTTGTCATCGGGAACACCTGAAATGATAATGTTATGATAATTAATATTTTTCTTGATAATGATAAGTCTCACGAGGTTTTCTCAAAAAAATGAGAAGAAATTTGTTTTTGTCTGTGTAGAAGAAGAATTGATTGATGAACACTGATAAACATTTAAATTACCATGTGAAATTGTTGTTTCGTTTTTGTATATTTTCTTAGTAACAGTTTCCTTACAGAGATGCTGACAAAGTACTATAATGGAAAATTCTGGTAGCAACTGTTACATGGATAAAATAATAACGTGGATAAAACAAAAAGATGCAAATTGTGTATAGTGTTACAAAATTTCAGTAACAACTAAATTTTAACATATTTGCCACTATGTCACTTCTGAATTGCATCCAAGGACGTTAGTGCTAACAAAATAGACGCAATAGGATATTTTAAACGAATTTATTTTATTGGAAAACTATTCTTTATAAATAACAATTAATTTAATAATGAAATGAAATAACATACCAGATGCCTTAAGGAAAGCATCGAAGTTCTCCTGGCTGACGAATTTGTAGTTCTTGTTAAGGAAAGCCATTTTTGCGGTAGTTTTTAGAAAAAACTATTCTTCAATGCCTGAGTTTTCAAATTTCATAAATTTATATCGTAATACTTATCTAACTGATAAATTATAATTTATATGGTTATATAGTGGTAATAAAAGTGAACTTATTAGTTGATAGATACCCATCGTTATAGTTAAGAACCGTTTAGATTTCGTGGTTTTGTCGGTCAACGATTTTGGAGCGTAAGATCTACACACAAATACACAAATAAAATGTTTGATAATGTCAAACTAATACTCAACCATCATTCAAACTCTTCCACAATAAGTGTGGGAGAGCCATGCTTCGGCATGAATGGGTTGGCTCGACCGGAGTGATACCACGGCCTCACAGAAAACGGCGTGAAACCACCACAGCGTTGTGTTTCGCCGTGTGAGTGAGGTTACCGGAGGCCCAATCTTTCCCCTCGGGTGTCCATGGGCGGCGCTGATTGCTTACCATCAGATAATCCATCTTCTGGTTTGCCGACTGACATAAAAAAATCATTTGACTGCTAAAGTCATTAACTTAGTTACAAATCTCAGAAACATTATAGACTATTCTTAAAATAAATCCATTTCATTTCTAACAACAGTATTACTTCTCAAGTTAGCTTTTTTATGGGTGGAAAATTATAAAGTGACAGCTACAGCCCTGGATAAGGCAATTAGACGTCTTACGGACTGCCAACCACCCCGTACCATCCGGACCGCAGTATATCATTACACTTGACCTCCAAAGTATCCTGTCTATGATTACCTACATTATAATCGTCTTAAATATTTAAAACATATTCTTGAAGAAAATAAAAGTGACACTAACATTTTTATAGTATTTTTTTAGAATGTTTGCTGTTTTAGCCTAAATTTTACAAGAAATACGGAAAATTTGCAAGTCACGTCACATCGCTGATACGGAAAAAGGCAAGTGTGTTTCCCTCTTTAGATTGAGTAAAATGGCCGATATCTTAAGACATATCTTTGGACAAGGTGCAGTTTTATTATATACTTACGTTTACAGTTGGCACACTTTAAAAAATAATAATTGTGATATTATAAAATTTGATCAAATCTACGTAAAGGCGGCTACATTCTACGTTGAAGATACGATCTTCAGCGGAGTTTCAAGTGCAGTAAGTGAAGGGGCAGAGTGGGTTTAGTCAATAAGAAACTGCCAATAAGAGTCAATAAGAGAAGTCATTCCATGACTATCCCACCTAAAAGAAAACAAAACAGTCCTCAGCATTTAGCACAAACAACAAATGGTTTAGTTATATCTATAGGTTTATCTCATGTAAAAATCTAAATCCAACCCAGCCTGCCTGCGTACTTGTAAACCTCTTCCAATTTTCTCATTGAACTCAAACCCCAAAGGGGGTGAGATCAATGATGCGGTCATTCAGTTATTAAGTAAGTTTTAAAGTCCTGGCTGGTGTCTTATGGTTAGGGGCCACCGCAGAAATTAATTCGGTTCAGTCATCAACAGCTTTATATACTGAACTACGAGTAGTCCTTCCAAAAACCATTACAATATTATTAACTAGCTCCTATTGATCGTAAGGTCATATTTTATAGCATATAGCATTCAACAACATTGTAGATGTCTCTCAGAGAAAGAATTTTTGTAATCCGACTAGCGGTTCCGAATATTACCCCCTACATACAAACTTACAAATTTTTCCTCTATAAATAACAGTACAGATAAAAATTTACATTTATCAATATTTTCCATTCAAAGGTTATTGTGTATCAGCCAAATGTTCAAGTTCTAAGTGTACATTAGTGATACCAGTAACGCTCCTATTCTTTACTACAGGTGGCTTATCGTTACACACAATAAAAGTTTATGGTACCTAGTACGTCAATATTCCAACGATATTCTAGCTTGCAATTATGACCCAGATTATCAATTTCAACTTTATTTATAAACTAATCGGCCGTTGATTATTGGTACTTATCTCTGACTTTCTCGAAACATTTTTCCATGCGAACTTTGCCCTTCTAACAGTAGCAATTGAGGTATAAGTATTCATTTCGCAGCTATATGGATGTAAAATACATCTGCACTTATTCTAAGCATCTGCATCAACGTAACCTGGCTGGGTAACCGACTTTTTGGAATGTTTGTGAGTGCTTCCAGTTAAGTTTGTGCAATGATATTATGAGTAAAAATGTGTAGATAGGTTATAAGCTCTCAGCAAGTGATACATTAAAATGTGGCTAACTAGCCACACTTTTTCATGTTTGTCTCTTTTTCACTCGTGATTATTGAATCATGCCATCCCATTTTAGCTTTATTCTTGTGCGCATTAGTGTGCCGATTTTGAAAATCGAATTTTGTTTATGTAACCAATTTACACACACATTGAGTTTGTGTGAAAGGTGAAATGCAACCACTTCACCAACCGAAAATACTGACTCGCTTTCTTTATTATATTTTTCCTTTTTATTTTATTAGAATATTCAATAACATGTTCCTATCAGTAGTGGTTAGTTTATGCATGGTTAAAAAACCCAACCTACTATATTGTTGGGCTGTAGCTCGCCATGCTTGATTATATAGCGTAGTTGGTGGGTAACCATGGAGTTTCTTGCTTGTTCTTCTCCATCAGAATCTCCACTTTGGAATAAACAAGTAGCTTCACTAAGAGGACTAACCGACAGACTGGCACGTTTTATCTTTAAGTTTTATTTGACGTGCAAAAGTGCCTGTAAAGAAATAATTGAAATAAATGATTTTATCTTCTTTTTGGTTAGATGATCATCCGTTTTCATTATTTAGGGAGAGAGAGAGATAGTTTATTTTGCAAATATGGGTAGTACAATAATATTTGTGGTGTTAGGTTAGGTACAATGCGAGCTCAGCCATATTTTACCAGTAGGCATGCAAAAATTAATTTAAAGTGTTACAAATTATAAACATGTCATCCTAAAACTTAAACTTACTGCTTTATAAATTAAATAGTCCATAAACAAAAGTCAAAACAGTAATTACTTAAACAATGTCAAATGTTAAAATATCAAAGAAATAATAGTTGAAATGTCCTTAAATGCAATTAAAAATTAATTACTTATCTAGTTGATTCTCCATTAAAAAATCTGCAACATTATAATATGCTTTGTCTACTAAAAGTTTTCTTAGTTTGTTTTTTAAAATGACATACTCAAATCCCTCCAAGTCTTAGGTATTTTATTAAATATTTTAGGTGCCATGCAGCAGACACTTTTGCTAATAAGTGTTGTCTTCGCTGTTTGAAGACATAATCGACTATTGTCTCGTCTATTTCGCGCAACTACATCGTTCATTTTCTTAAAATATTCTGGATTTGACTTGACAAACATAGCCATTTCCATTATATAGATGCAAGGTAATGTTAAGATTTTATACCTCTTAAAATATGGTAAACAACTCTCAGTAGTGTCAAGTTTATACATTGAGCGAATACACCTTTTCTGAGCTTTAAATGCAACATCTTTATCTGTGGAGTTGCCCCAGAATATAACCCCATAACGAAGATGTGGTTCAGCTATACCGTAGTAAGCAGTTAGAAGCGCTTCCTTCGAAACCTTATGTGATAGTGTATGTAGGGCATATGCAGATTTACTTAGCCTCTTACAAACCTTGACTACATGTGATTTCCAGTTTAGATGTTCGTCAATTTCTAAACCTAAAAACATGGTACTTGCTACATTGTCAACTGTTTGGTTATTATAACTAACGGCAATATCTTTACTACGGATACGTTGTCTAAAATGCATAACTTTTGTTTTTGCGATGTTAATTTTTAGGTTATTGTCATTTAGCCATGTTATAAACGAAGCTAGAGAATCATTAATTTCGTTTTCATATAATTTTGGATCATTACACGGTACAGTTATGGTACTATCATCGGCAAACAAAGTCAAGGGTTGCTGAATGTGTTTCGGGAGGTCATTTATATATAATATAAAGAGTAATGGCCCCAGAACGCTGCCTTGTGGTACCCCATATCTAACTTCACGTTCTGATGAATGAAAAGTTTTTTCGTGATAGCTGCTATTCATTCTTTGGATTTCCGTCTTTTGTTTCCTATTACGTAAATAAGATTCTATTAGTTTAAGAACGTTACCTCTGATTCCATAGGCTTCAAGTTTGCCCAAGAGAGTATTAAAGTGTACATAGTCGAAAGCTTGGGTCATGTCACAGTATATGGCACAGACTGGTTTACGTTCATCTACTTTTGTAATAACCCCTTTTATAAAATCATATATAGCCATTTTTATTGATTTACCTTGTCTAAAACCTTTCTGTTCGTAGCACAATAACTTGTTTTTTTCTAAGTATTTATAAGTCTCTTTATATATGTACTTTTCAAATATTTTCGATATAATCGGAATAAGTGCAATAGGCCTATAGAATTCCATGAGTTCCCTGTTTACCTTTTTAAATAGTGGCTTTATTATGGAAATTTTTAATGCATCTGGATAAATACCGGCGCAAATGCTAAGATTTAAAATATGACTAAGGTGCCTACATATGTTAGGGGCTACTATTTTAAGTATCTTTGTTGAGATACCGTCGTAACCTACACTGTTTGTGTTCTTCAGTGAATTAATAATTTTTAGTATATCACACGGTACACTTGGAGCAAGGAACATCGAATTTTGTTGGATACATATACCGTGTGGTTTTGGTTTGTTAAAAGTATTGAGATTAGGTTGAATTTTATCAATAAAATAATTATTAAAAGCATTAGAAATATCTATCGGATTAGTGATTGTAGTTTGGTCATCAACCTTAATGGAATATATGTATTGTTTAGGGATATTATGTTTTGTCTGGTTTATGATTTGCCAAGTAGTTTTAGATTTATTATCTGATTGGTGTATCTTGTAATTATTTTGAGCCTGTTGTGTAAGATAAATAATTTTCTTATACAATTTGGAGTAGTTCCGATAAGTCAATTTATTTACTTGATTGGGGTTTAGTCTGAGTTGCCATAAAAGAGATCTTTTCTTCCTACTACATAGTTTAACACCACGGGAAAGCCATTTAGGTGTTTTAGCAGTACTTTGTTTATTTATTATAGTTGGGAAACATAAGTCATACATTAATTTAAAAGTGTCAATAAAAGCATTGTAAGCTTCATTTGGGTCAGTCATGTCATAAATTTCTGAAAAGGATATATTACTTAAACATTCCTTAAACTTATTAATATTTTCTTTGTCATAATCTCGCCGAGTAATATACCAACATTTTCCCGCAAAGACTTTATAGACCGGACATTGTAAGAGCTGAGCAGTGTGATCAGGCAACGCAAAATCAAATACAGCTGCCTTACTTGACTTATTGAAATTGTGTGCAAAGTTGTCTATGCATGTCATGCTAGCCATACGAGTCGGTTGTTTTATTGCCAATCTCAAGTTAAAATTTAGGAGCAAACATTCAAACAGCAGGGAATAGGGAACAGCACAAACTGTTCTCTAAACGTTGTTTTGACGCCGGGGTTGCGGGGTAAGCGCAATGAGGCACCGCGACCTCGGCCCAGAGTATGAGAAGGAACAGGGGGGTTTTTAGTCAGTAAGTCTGACACTCCCTTCCGCCCGACCCTGGGCGGGAGAAATTATTTGATGATTTTCCCCTCACAAAAAAAACCTTTTGACGTTTGACAAGAGGTTCGTTTTTTCTTGTTAGCAAGCATGGCTGCTTAGAAGGAGAATTTAATCATAAATTAAAAAAGATATATTTTTACATAACAAAATCATATTATTTTAAAAATAAACATGTGAATGATGTGTATTAATATACTTATAATGTGTCTTATGCCAATATACTGGCAATACACTGACTTTAATTGTTTCGCCGTTTTTAACTTGGTTGCCGCCAAGAAACCCTGGCTTATTTACAACTATTTGGTAAACTTACAGTGACTTTGACTACCCTGCGTCTAAGCCACATTTAGCTGAGTCGGTGACATTTACATAAAATTAAGCTATAAGTAGGTAAATATTGAGTTACTTATTAATATTTTTACATTACTTATCTAGTAGGTATAGGTTGAGTATTTATAGATTATCAAATTGTGAATCTATTTAATGCCCTTTATCTGGTATATTATTATCATTTACAGATGTAACTCACCCACTCACCCACGCTACATCACATCCTTTCCTTTGTATAATAATTGGCCGACAAAACAACATGAAACATTTTGACTGGTGCATTTTTTATGTAATAGGTAGGTAAACGAGCACACGGATTACCTGATGGTAAGCAATCAGCGCTGCCCATGAACACCCACAACGGAGGAGTTACAAGTGAGTTGCTGACCTTTTAAGGATTAGGGATTTGAAGATTTAGGGACTGGGGAGGGATTGGGGAAGGGGAAGGATTGGGCCTCCGGTAACGTCACTCACACGGCGAAACACAACGCTGTGGTTGTTTCACGCCAGTTTTCTGTGAGGCCGTGGTATCGCTCCGGTCGAGCCGACCCATTCGTGTCGAAGGCCTTGGCTCTCCAACACTTGAACATTGACGGCCTCACAAAAAAAAAACAGGCATGAAGCAGCACTTAGGTACGTTATGTTTCACCCTGTGAGTGAGTTACCAAAGGCCCAATCCCCATTTCTCTATCCTCAAACCCCTATCCTTAAATCACTGACAGCCTACAAGAGGGTAACATCGAACTGGTAGTAACTCAACGTGAGTGTCCACGGGCGGTGATGATTGCTTACCATCAGGTAATCCGTCTGCTCATTTGCCAACCTATGACATAAACAATCAGAACAAAAATTGATCATGGTAGTGGTTCTGCACCAATACTACTAGAAATCAAACTATCAAGAAAACACATAGGCTGGAAATACATTGGACTCTTCTGGTGTTACCACTACAGGTCTCGCTGATTGCTTACTTGTTTTGCTTATTAATATATTAGTGACTCGTTTGTTCTACATCATAAGATAACAAATAAAGGTTTTCGAATCCTGATTACAATTTCTCAATTCCCTTGCATCATCATGACATCTTCAAAAAATTAACGCACAAACTTGTCGAAAAATCATTACACATCTCAAAATGACGACATTATCGAAGTTTAATAAGTAAATGATCATGATTGATTTGCCCAATTGAATTATCAAAATAATAATAATAAATCGTACGAATAGTATTGATCAACAATTTTACCTAAATATTTATAATATATTTTACTACACGGAGGACCACAGCAACAAATAGTAGCACAATCTTAAACACAAGCAAGGCAGTTATTAAAAAAAAACTTTGCCCCAGCCCAGGATTTGCTCCTGTGTCGTGGGTTCGTTTACAAACATACAATTTAACATACACACCACACCCAGACCCTGAACAAGAATTCGTGGATCACACATGTGTTGGTCTGTGTGGTAATCGAACCCGCGACACGTTATTAATTACTTAGTAAACCTGTTACGGGTTTCTTTGTAAGACTAATGTAACACTGAATGAAGGCCTTACTGACTCATTAGTCAAATAGTTAAGACAACAAAAATAATATTTTCTCCACACATCACCGGTTCTCGGACTTTTGGAAGGCGTACGAGGGACCGAAGCCAACTAGCATAGGCTTTTTAATATAAGTGAAATGGGACATCAGCCGGCAATTATCCCTGATATTATTCGTATTCTTGTCATTTTTTATTTGTTTTCCAGATCTATTATAATTAGAAGTAACTATAAGATAAAGATAAACGATCTGCACTTTTTGAACCTTAATTCAGTTCACTTACACCTACTTAACTGCTCCCTTTCCACTGCACTGCACCCACGTGGTGGCCTGGAGATTAGAGTTCGAAACCTAGCAAGTACCAATGTGAGTTTACCCGAGTTATATGTACTTTCTATGATTATTTAGACACCACTGTCATACGGTGAAGGTTAACGTCGTGAGGAAACTTGGGCTTATAATTTCTAACTATAAGTTTGAAATCACCAATCCGCGTTGAGCAAGCGTGCTGATTGTTGCTCAAACCGTTTTCGTGTGAGAAGAGGCCTTTGCTCAGCAGTGGACACTTATAGCCTGATGATGTGATGGACTCCTACTGCATATCAGAGAAGGAAGAAAGTTGATATAGTTGTCCTATCGTGATTGCTGTATACCCGTAATAGGCATTAATGTTAGAACAGTTTCATGATCTTTCATGATCCTTGTATTTTATGTAACACATAATGCTGTTGGTATACCAATCCAAACTAATATTATAAACTAAGTAACTCTGTCTGTCTGTCTGTTTTTCTTCACGCCTAAAGTACTGAACCAATTTCTGTGAAATTTGGTACAGATACAGTTTGGAACTCGAGAAAGGACATAGGATAGTTTTTATACCGAAAATCTGCAGGAAATCACTATTCCACGCGAACGGTGTCGCTGGCAAAAGCTAGTAAATAAATAAATAAAAAGTCAAAGTCAAAAAAGTAAACAATCATTTATTCCAATTAGACCCTTACAGGCCCTTTTGAACGTCAATCAAAATTTTGAAGGTTTAGTGTCAATAAAACGATTTTGTTTAAAAAATAAATAATTTTAATAAATTCAATTGATAACCATTATAATACTTTAGAGATATGTACAATAAAATAATAAATTAAGCTTTGTAGTATCTAGTGGCAACGCCGTCCCATTTGTTTGTTTTCAGGGTCTGAAAGAATAAAATAAAAATAATTAAAATTATTGCAAACATTATGCGACTATCCTACTTATCTTCATCTTCAATGTATACAAAAATGTATAAGAAAATGCGTTTGTGAGCGCATAGCTCAATAACGAACAAAATTAACTCAGGGTTAATTTTGAAAATACTGGTTATGTTTTTTTTTGTGAAGGGAAAATCATTAAGTGACTTCTCCCGCCCAGAGCCGGGCGAGAGGGAGTGTCAGACTCTTACTGACTAAAAACCCCCCTGTTCCTTCTCCTGCTCTGGGCCGAGGTCGCGGTGCCTCATTGCGCTGCGAGCATAACTGCTTCACAGAAGGAGAAGACAGCGTCCCAGTTCCTCTCACTACGCACCATGGCCTCGACTAAGGCCGGGCGCGAGAGATCGCCACCGCCGATCACTTCCCTGAGGACACGGCGGTGCTCAGCCCAGGCAGGGCATACCGCCACCGGTATGCCCTGGTATATATACCGGTTATGTTGTGTTTGTCATTGTAAGGCGACGGCAGTAAGAAATTAGCTACCCTTTTGTCATCACAAAATCGGGCACCTGTGCGAAAATGGGTTGAGCAGCTAGCGGAAAATTTCATCTGGTTTTTTCTTTCTTTGTTAACCCAACATAATCTATTTTTATAAGATATTAATCTATCTCGATTTTATGAATAAAATACGCAATTGAACAGTTCTATCTGTCTGATGCATAATGAGGCTACGCGGTAGATGGTGTAGTATTTGAGTCCTTATTAACTTACCACAACCATTTCATTTCCGGAGAAAGTCCTGGTGATGGTGAGAACGCCATCGTCAGACTTCTGAATCTGGGTGATGGTGTCACCGTCAACGGTGTAGGTGGTGTTTACCTGGAAGAACAGAAAGATAATCGAGTTACTACAATGAATTTAGAACATAAAAATTAAGGTACTAGGTACTCAAAAAGAGGTAAAAGAGTGGTGATTGAAATCTAAATCCAAGTCAGTATTCCAAAATTCTTTCACTGATAGATAGCTAAATTGTTCCTGAGTGCCAAAAATTATACTAAATACTGCTTAATTACACTTGATTTGCTTATACTAGTCGAGCTTTCGCTTTTAACGCTGCTGTTTTTTATTTTTATATCTGGGATACATTATTTTTATACGCGTGCGAAGTCACGAGCGGCAACTAGTAGAATTAAGCAAAAAAAAAAATAGAGAGAAAAGATTTTAAATATTGAACATAAATACAAGTAGTATTTGTTCAAACAGGTACAGATAAGAATGAAGACAGTGAAAAGGCTAATGAAATGAAAAATACAGCAGCACATATTGACATGTAGAATAATGACTTTAATTGAAATGAATTTGACTACACCGTTGGCTGGGCAACCGGCTATCGTGCAACTTATCGCGGGTCCCATTACCGCACGGAACAACTCTTTGTGTGATTCACAAATTGTTGTTCTAGGTCTGGGTGTGATGACTATGTGAAATTGAGAAAACACCTACGACAAAAGAAAAAGGGATAGTATGGAGCAACGTATTTAAAAAAAATGTAAGACGTTGCTACAACCCCAATTTTATTAACAACTGGCTATTCTCACGCAGTTTCACCCGCTGCTCGGCTCCATTTAATCGTAGCGTGATGTTTTAGCCTATAGTACTCAGGAACATTGTAGTTATCTATAAGTGAAAGAATTTTGACAATCCAACAAGCGGTTCCAAAGATTACCCCCTACTAATATTAATACTAATATTACCTCTTTATAATATTAGTAAGTATAGATTTGGGTCAGACTCTAAATCAGAACTTAATCAAGACGATGATAAAGATGAAGACTTACCTTCACACCAGCTACGGTTTCGTCAAAGGCGACTCCAGATTTAAAAGAAACCTCCTTCTTGCCCTGGGCAGTTACGGAAGTCACGGTGTAGGTGTCACCATCCTTGCTGTACTTCAGCGTGGGGTTGTAGTTGAGGTAGCCTTGAGTTTGCTCAGCGGGAAGACCTGTAAGATAGACCTTGATTTAAAGCATTTTTGGCTATTTTTGCCTGACTTTTTATTTATAGTTTAATCGTAGCACCATTAGTATAATTATAGTTTAGTAGTAGCACCATTATGTCGTGATGGCCCGGAGGTTAAGGAGTTATGGTTTACATAATGTGGCAACGTAACCTTGCTCGCCATCCGGGCCCACGCTTACTCCTACATGGCAGCTGGGGGATGAGGAGGAAAGATCCTTCACGCAACCGCAAATGTGGCTTACCACTCTTGAACGTGACATTCATGCAATCATATGGATATTATTTGCATGACTTGACTTGAGAACATTTTTCATCATTTAACGTTATGTGATGAAATTTCAACTCTCTTTGCTTAGAAACCAATGCGACAAAGGATCGATATCGTATAAAATACTTATAAATGACATAATATGCGCACCAATCGGTCAAGTCCACGGCTTCACTGATATTGCCAATACCGCCACATTTTATCTGAAGGTCGTTCTTTAGATTAGCATAATGTTATGAAGATATCTTTCAATTCATAGGTGTGCCTAGGTAATATTATTGTTAAAGAAAGTGCATTTAATGTCTAGTAGAATACTAGTACAGTGCAAGACTCTGTCTTATTCTTTCTGAACTGATAAGCAAATGTAACCCTCAACAAATTTAGTTAAGAGCAATAAAGTGCCGCTGCACTGGCCTGCTGGTACAGAAAGGACAGGATGGTTTGTGATCAGTAATATTCTGACCATCCCTTTCGTCCGGCCAGGGTAAAATAAGTCATTTGATGATTTTCCTCCCTCCAAAAGTAAACAACCCCAAGTTAATACCCAAGTGGCCCAAAAAACTGCAATTATATAATGTCTTCATCCTTATCCTTATACTTCATGCGCGCAGCATGGGTTTATTTTTTTTTTCGTGAGGGGAAAATCATCAAGTGACTTTTCCTGCTGGCTGGGCGGGAGAGAGTGTCAGACTCATACTAACTAAAAACCCCCCTGTTCCTTCTCCTGCTCTGGGCCGAGGTCACGGTGCCTCATTGCGCTTACCCCGCAACCCCGGCTGAACATCAGCCCTTTAGGGCCCCGTCTGTGGTGGTCTATTGGCTCTTTGAGGCGGGCGCGGAACGCTACGCGAAGTACGCTCGGGGCGCAGTATAGGTACAGATGGATTTAGTGCCGAAAGTATTTTCTCCCATACAAAGACAATAGCCAGTTCCCATATTTATTTTCTGTTTTTTTCTTCACGTTTGAAATCTATTCTGGTCTATATTTTGAAATAAATGATTTGACTTGACCTCTTTTGACTTTATGAAAAACGGCCTTAATTTTCCAAAATTGCAATCAACTAAGCAGTAGATAGAGTTAAATTTTATCATTGAAATCCTCTTGACTTTGATAACGTATCTCAAATATACAACTTATTACATGAGTTAAAATTTCAAGAAAACTGTAAGCCGATTCCAGTTTTATAGAGATTAGATTAAAGTGTTGCATGGATCGAAACACGCCCACGATATAATGTTTGTCTATACTTTAGAATGATTGTGGTGGCCCGGAGGTTAAGGAGCCCGCTTCTCATGCATGAGGGTGTGGGTTCGAAACCTGGCAAGTACTAATGTGTCTTTTTCCGAGTTATATGTGCTTTCTATAATTATTTAGACACCTCTGACATACGGTGAAGGTAAACATCGTGTGGAAAACTGGACTTTTAATTTCAAGTTATAAGTTCGAAATCGCCAACCCGCATTGAGCAAGCGTGGTGATTAATGCTCAAACCTTCTCCGTGTGAAAAGTGGCCTTTGCTCAGCAGTGGGCACTTATAGGCTGATGATGATGATGATGATGCTGATGATACTTTAGAAGAATATTGTCTTATTGTAAAAGGCTGTCTGTAAAGAGGGTAACACCAAAAATAATTCCGTAGCAAAAATTTACGCCCAATATCTGCTTGAGCATGTTGCAAGTATTTAAAAAAATGGGCTAGCAATTTGGCACCCCTAAACATTCAAACAGCTTCCTACGACCAATAATACTGTAGGCGCTGGTAACGAAATTCCAAAACAAAAGCTTTAGTAAGGTCGATCAAAATTCTGATAATGCAAAAACAGATATCCAAGTGAAATTGACGGTATTATTGCCCCTTCTACAGTTAAAGTCAAAGTCAAAATCATTTATTTCAATTAGACCACAGTTAAGTAGGCACTTTTGAACGTCAAGCATGAAAGAAAAAATATATTACAGGAGGTTTAACTTTATGCGTGTCAGTCTGTCCGTCTGTTCTCTAGTGAAGCTATTTGCTCATTCCAAAGTGTAGATTCCTATGGAGAAGAACGAGCAATAATCTCCATGGTTACTCTGGTTATAAACAACAAACTTACCCAAAGCCTTCACGAATTCTTCAAAGTTCTCCTGCCTCTCAAATTTGTATTCCTTGCCTAAGAAAGACATTTTGATAAGTCTGATTACTTCGAATAGCAAACTGAAGGTTTTAGAGGATAACCCAGTGGGTTATATAGCCGTGCAATAATCCAATGGATAAAGATAAACTTGTATTTGTAGTTGCTGATAAGTTTTATTGCATCCCGATCTCACGGTGGCGTCGGCTCGCTTTGTTTGCAAAGGTGTGTCGCAATATCATTGGTTGCCTCTATACCTACTACACTATCTTTTGCAGCAGTTTGACTAGCTGTTGCCTGTGAGTTTGGTCTAGTGCCAATGTTAGTAGAATCACCCATTGAGTTTGAAGAGTGATAAAATACTAGGGGGAAAATATCTATATTAATTTGACTGCATTGTTGGCACAGTGCAACGTGTCGTGGGTCTGATTCCTGCACAGAACAATACTTTCTGTGTTAAACAAACCTTGTCTGATTTGCGTGTTTGTTCGCAATTGTTTTCATATACCTATAAATTTATTTTTTCGTCCATACCTTCCACTACTTTTGTTTGTGAAGTCCTATGGTCAGTTATGGCCTTGTAAGGTGATTATGAATATTTATCAGTCCCCTGTATGTATACTAATTTACCAAAATATTGGGTCGATCCTGTGCTCTGATAAAACTTTACTTTAATTTTTATCACTCGCACCTGGCTTAATCTTCCCTTGCCCACCTTTCCAAATCCCCATTCCATTAATCTGTAACTCCCAAAAAGGTTGCTAGTGCAGTCGTAGTTCATCTGCTATTGCATGAGTGTTGTTGTCCATGGTTGATCCATCTCTCTATGATTTTAGTAATGACGCCCTGTTAAGTAAAACAATATTTCGTAGGCATATCTTTTCTAGAAGACATGTCCTTCAATTTTTTCATATTTCATCCAGACCATCTAGCTATATCATGACAAACAAATTAACATAAGCAATATTTTTGCCTTTAATATTATAGAAAAATGTTATCATTTGGTTGAATCATACTTGCATTTTGATAAAGATCATAGATTTTGTGTAGGTAGTTACTTATTAGTTCGGTAATTCCGTTTTGAAGTAGATAAAAAATGACTAATATGATCAGTTCATCATTGTGATAAATTTCCGTATTTCTAGTAAAAAAGGTCACCCGATTTTTTTTGTGAGGGGAAAATCATCAAATGACTTCTCCCGCACAGGGCCGGGCGGGAGCGAGTGTCAGACTCTTACTGACTAAAAACCCCCCTGTTCCTTCTCCTGCTGTGGGCCGAGGTCGCGGTGCCTCATTGCGCTTACCCCGCAACCCCGGCTGGACATCGGCCCTTTAGGGCCCCGTCTGTGGTGGTCTATTGGCTCTTTGTGGCGCGCGCGGAACGTTGCGCGCCGTACGCTCGGGAAAAGGTTACCCGTACAATGTTAATTTTGAGTGTGTTTTTCATCCTGAAGGGGTTGCACTCCAAAAGGCATTGTTATGATCACAGTAAGCATGTAAGAAGAGTGTGATAAGAATCTCCCACTGTGAAGAAATGAGTATTATCGTTCAAGGCCGATTGGTGATTTTAAACCTATAAAATTATTAGAAATCAAGTAAGTAAGTATGAGTCAAGTTTTTCCCAGGATGTTTTGTTACAACACATGTCAGTGGTTTGTGAATGTTCTAAGGAATAAGGTAATGTTAGTCATAAAATGTTACATTGGTAAGTACTAGCCAGATTTCGTAACAGCAACCCTCATGCATCGGAAGGCCGTGAGAAATCCGATTACTTAGAGGAGCTTCTTTATCTATTATATTGTTTCAAGCCGTTGATTAAGCATTTCACCGAACACAGATGTTTAACACAGACGGATAGCATGAACGCAAAATTCGTAAAATATTATTTCATAGATCTGTTACAATCTTGCGTTTAGAGGTTTTTCCCATAACTGTTACTTGGTACAATTTTGTTTTTAAAATTTTCCAGTCGTGTTTGTTGACGCTTGTAATGTTGTCCTGATTGTATCGTCATCTTTACCTTTTATTCTGTCTTCAGTAGCATTAGCTTTAGTAGCATTAGTTTGCCCACGAAAACTAGAGCTATTTCGTTTCTCTCCTCAAAGAATATCTTATGATTTGTTTCGTTGCGGGATTTAAGACAGTCTATCGTGGTCCGGAGACGCGCCGAACTTCAGTGTTTTGGTGTTTTCATAATTGTATCTACTGTAGATCCTGGCTTACAGGAGTTGCGGCGGTTCCAGGAGGATTTGACAGGATTGTTCCAAAAAATAGTCCTGTTACAATAGCCACTGCTGCATTCTTTTCTTTAAATGAAGACATAATATCTTCTGCTTTCGATACAGTTAAATATTTGCCCTCATGGAGTACCTATCAAACATTACATTAACCCACTCAATTTCTTCGTTGCAAATGTAATAAATGTAATAATTGTAACTTTTATATGTTATCTAATTGCTGTTAATGATAAAATATCAGGTGAGGTAAACACTATGAGTACCTAGGTAGATATTGGTACCTATATCTACTTTAGCACTTAGTAATCTAAAGATAAATTGGTTGATTCAATTTTTTCACTAGAATGTTCTGTTTGCCAAATTGAAGGAAATGAGGTCATTGAATTTGTAACCGCATTTCCTTAGAACGAGACGCACAGTTTATAGGTTATGTTAATAAGTATTAGTTCACAACTAATAGCCTTATTGGGCGAACTGTTCAAGAAGAACATTCTGTATGACGGAGTAAAACTGTACAATGGCCTACCTAATGATATTAAAATATGTACAAAATTAAATAAATACAAAAAACTACTAAGAAATCATATCCGTAACCAATATTCTTAACACAATAATATTATACGACTTCTTAACATTTGTCTGCCTCACTGCTGTTGTACCCTCTGTTTATTTATAGTGAAGCCAAAGCGCTGTAATTTAGCTATAAGTTAATATTGTTAATCTCATTTTAAGTGAACCATTGTTCTTATGAGAAATAAAGTTCTTTAAACCTAACTGTTTGTAAGTCATTTCAGGTTCAAATTAAACTTACATAGAGATTTTTTTACCTTTTTAAATTTTTGTAGTTGTTTGCAAAAGCATGGTAGTTGGACATCATTTTGCCATTAAAGGATGTATATTTCAAAATTAAGGCTGTCAATGCTAGACCGATACTCAAAACTTGAGCGCACTTCACACTCACATATTTTATAAGTTTAGAAATATACTTTAATATAGGTACCTACTTAAGTAAGTTCGTCGGAATTTCATTCTCCGCTATCACACACATGTGTAATGTAAGCACGCAAGAAGGTGTATCACGGTAAGCAGTTAGCACCGTCCGCGGACACCTGCGAAACCATAGGAGTTAAATGGGTTCCTGGCTATTTGTGGATTGTTAAGGTTTTGATTTGGGGAAGGATTGGTGCCCCATATAATCTTACCCACCTGTCGAAACCTAATGATGGCGTTGATTCACGCCGGTATTCTCATACCGTGATATTACTCCGGTGAAACTGGCCCAGTCGTGTCGTCGAAGCCTGGCTCTTTCACACTTTCGGAATGGCGCATATCACACTAAAGAACACTCATCGTTTTCTTCCTCTTATTCTTACAACTTCTAAGTTCAATAGTGCGTATGATAATAGTTCTAACGTTATTAATAACTTAATTAACAATTGCCAAAACCATTTTATTTTATTACATTATCTATAATGCATTATGGGATTGATCCTAAATTGCTGTATTACCATTATTTGCAGTTTTATTAATAAGTTTTATGTATCTCTAGCATTTATTTATCAATAGATAGGTACGTGCCTTTCCTTTTCCAATATCTAAACTTCGACTTGATACATTGGTCAAAGTGCACAAAACATTGTAATGGCTAAAGACGCGTACTTTGCATTTTGATTCAATAGATTTTTTTTGTGAGAGGAAAAATGGTGGAAAATCATCAAATGACGTCTCCGGCCCATAGTGTCTGTACTGACTAAAAACCCCCACGTTCCTTCTCCTGCTCTGGGCCGAGGTCGCGGTGCCTCATTGCGCTTACCCCGCAAGCCCGGCTAAACATTAGCCCTATAGGGGCCCGTGTGTGGTGGTCTATTGGTTCTTTGAGGCGCGCGCGGAACGCTACGCGCCGTATGCTCGGTCCGGTTCTGGTCGGGCGGCGTCTATCGAGAGACGATGTGCGGCCACGAGAGGCGAGTTACCCTTACTCGCCTCTCGTGGCCGCACATCGTGGTCGGACATCGTGGTCGGACATCGTGGTCGGACATCGTCTCATATCATATCATCTCTCGATTGGGGTAAAGTTTTTATTTTAAATGCCAAGATTGAACTTTGGATCTTTAAAGTTTAGTTTTATCAATGTTATATCAAATTTTCAAAAAAAGAATTCTATGTAATAGTACATAGAATTCTTTGTTGGTGTCAAGAATATTGATATCCTTTCAATTATTCAATCGCGGACAATGAAGATAGCGGTGCATATTAGACCACCACAGATGGGACCCAATAGGGCTGATGTTCAGCCGGGCGCATGTATCGAGGCCTCGGCCCGGATCCGAAGAAAGAACGAGGTTGTTTTAGTGATTAAGAGTCTCTCTCTCGCCCCAACCGGGGCGGGAGTAACCTTTGATGATTATCACTCCTAAAGCAGCTACATGTATTAAGTACGTGCCAATTGACAACCATTTTTCCCCAGATTTTTACATCCTCATATTTTTTAAACGAAAAATATGGCAGAAGTCGTTAACTTTATTGTCCAAAGAACGATCTAGAAGTAATATTTTGAAATTATATCTCAACAAAATTGTGATGCGTATAGATAGGTATAAACTTTGTGTTTCAATTTAAATTATCTTCGTTATCAGATAGTGCCATTAATGATATAATCTTCTAATGTATTGATATTTGACAGCTGTGATTTAATTGGTTTAATTACCCCTGTACTGAATCATTTAAAGTTTACTTAACTCAATCTGTAACAATTCTTTTCGGAAACAGATTTTCGCCATAGATCATCATCACTCCTAGGAGGAGAGTATTAGGTATAGCTTTATTAGAGAGTAAGTGTGGGAGAGCCAAGCTTCGGAACGAATGCATCGTCTCGACCGGACTGATACCACAATCTCCCAGAAAACTGGCGTGAAACAAAAACAGCGTTGTGTTTTGCCGTATGAATGAGGTTACCAGAGGCCCAACCCCTTCCCCTCTCTCCATCCCTTCCCAATCCTTAAATATCCGAAACCTTTACCCCTAAAAGTAAGAAGGGTTTCGGATATTTATTGTATTCATATATGCTTTTGTATTATATGCATATGCTGCTTTTTAATTATCTGTGTGCTTGTTTAGAACCTATTGTTAACACTGCTCTGCATCACCCTTGAGGTTGACTGTTAGAGAATGCACTCGGGCATTAAACCCGCCCTTGTATTGTTATGTACATAAAAAGTGTTAAATAAATACATAGAAGCTGGCAACGCACTCGTAATTCCTTTGGTGTTGCGGATGTCCATGGGCGGCGCCGATGGCTTACCATCAGGTAATCCGTCTGCTCGTTTGTGATACGCCAATATATTTGTGAGGAGAAAATCGTGAAATTACTTCTCTTGCCCAGGGTGAGGCGAGAGTCAAACTCTTGACTGACTAAAAACTTTAGGCCGAGGCCGCGGTACCTTATTGCGCTAGCCCCGCAATCTCAGCGTTCCTCGTACTTTTCGAAACACAGCGGGCCAACCTGTGTCAGTTTGAAATGTACTCGTAACACCATCTATCGAGCAAGCGTGTAAAATTTATTTAAAAATTGGCAAATGTCATAGATTTGTTTTATTTTGTTATAGCAATGATTTGACGATAATTTGATTGCTATAAAAATAAAGTTTTTTGCCAGCGATAAATTAGTTACAAAAAATTAATAATACTAGCACTTTGTTATTTCAAATTGATTTTTATTTTACGTGATTAAAGCATAAAAATGAAAAATTTCTCTATTCAAATTCTTTATTTGACATTTACAGCATCGAATTTTATTGTTTCAATTGTTTAATGAGACTAGGAAGCTTAAGTAAATAATCAGTGAATTAAACTTTTGCGATTTTAAATTACCTACTTGTATATTGATAGAGTTACGCAAATGTCTATTATTGTTTTTCAACCTTATCGAAGAGTGTGTTGTATGATAGACTACGGTGATCTGCACCTAAGAACATTAAGAGAAATTCGAGAATTATATACGAGTATATATAACAGCTCACTTTGTGTTTCGCCGTGTAAGTAAGCTTATTGGAACGGCAATTCTATCCTCATCCCTCAAAACATCTCAAAAGGTCGGAATTACACACGTGTACAAATCTTCTTCGGGTTAGTTTCGGTTCTCCATCATCAAGGGGTCCATCAATTGCCGCCTATCTCTAAATGAAAATTTGTCGATTCCAGTGTAAGATAATTTGTCTCAACAATTATTTACCAACACAGATTACAACAAGAATTTAAATAACAAATATAGCCCCGACCCAGTTTATCTATTTATTAAATAATTTGAAAAAGAAAAACTACTGATAAATACACTATCCCCCGGTTTCCAAAAGGCCGATCAATGTTAAAATCAATTTAATCAAAAAGATTAAACAGGAGATTAGTTAATTTTAGCGTTGACAAGCCTTTCAGAAACCGGGTGTATATCTAAGTAAAAAATTAATTCGGCACGAATGGGTCGGCTGGAGTGCTACCACGGCCTCACAGAAACTGGCGTGAAACAACCACAGCGTTATATTCCACCGTGTGAGTGAGGTTACTGGAGGCTCAATCCTTCCTCTCCCCCAATCCATAAAACTCCAAATCTCGCACTCGTTACTCCTCTGTTGCAGGGCGCTGATTGCTTACCATCAGGTAATCAGTCTGCTCGTTTGCCGACCTGTTAGGCTGTTACATAAAAAAAATAACAAACAATAAATAACCAAGAATTTTATTGACTTACAAAATACAATAAGTAATAATTTTAAATTTTATATTTTTATTTATGACGACCACCCGTATAACATAAATAATATTGATAGCTATAAATTAATTTTAATTATTCTTTAACTACTTCGTATATTCTGACACATTTGCCATCCCAACCGTCAGCTGTCGACACCTGAAACAATTCAAAAAGGTTAAACACATGTCACTTATTAAGGTGTGTGGGAGAGCCATGTTTTGGCACGAATGGGTAGACTCGACCGGAGTGATACCACAGTCTCACAGAAAACCAGGGTGAAACAACCACAGCGTCACGTTTTGTCGTGTGAGTGAGGTTACCGGAGAGATTACCAATCATTCATCTTCCCGAATTCCAAATCTCCAAATCCCTAATCCCCAAAAGGTCGGCAATGCACTTGCAACTGCACTCAATCAAAATTTTAAGATAAAATATCTTTTAAGTGCGACAGAATTGTGACGTCACTACACACAATCCCGTTCATAGTAAACTGTCGATTCTAACAATCCGAAAAGTATTTTTAGTACTTTTCTAGTGCCCTGTGACATTATAGCAAAGTTCGAAATATCAATGTCACCCATTTCATCAAAAATAATGGCAAACTGTAGCAGTTTGTCACCATACTATAGCAGGTATGATGGCTTTGATGATCCGAGGGATTGGAAGGACGTAGAGGAAATAGGTCCTTCTAGCCCCGACGACGAGCAAATCCAGCCAATCTATCAACATATTCTTCAAAATATTTCTTTTGACTGTAACAATAACCCTTAAAGATATTCTGAAAGAAATGCCATCTAAAAATAAAAGCCAATTCTATTCATTCATTTCAATTACACCAAAAAGAGCCACTATTTCCACCCAAACAAAACATTTACGGCCTTATTACAAAACAAGGTTTTACTTTAGTCTAGGACTAAACCATCGAGCCAGTTTTTGTATTTCGAATTGAAGGTAGGTGAGAATAAGATTCAAAATTCAAAACCCGAATCCATGGTTTAAACCTGGACTAAAGATAAATCTTGTTTTGTAATAAGGGGGTTAAAGTAATAGTCTAAGATCCCGCTATACAACGACCTTCACCGAGATGTTTATTTGATAAAACATATTTTATATATAATTTTATATGTTAATAAATTTATTGCATATGGGTTGCCTAGCAAATTTCAGTCCAGAGTATGATTAATTAATAATTAAAAAAATATATTTTTTTGAATATTTCACCGGCGTGATTATTGCATAAATTATACATCAATTGAAAGTATGAAGTCCCTAGAATATGCAAACGTTAGGTTGCCTATTGTTTTCCGGTCACAACTCTCGGGTTGCCAGGTATAAATAGGTAGGTTGATATTAGCATTTTGCACCGGTATGATTATTTAATAAAATATAGGTGAAAATAAAGATTATTTTATTACAAACACGATGGTATAGTTGTCGAATTTTAAAAATTAAAATATTGCTGCGAGTCAGTACGTGCGACAGAGAGGTCCCAACCAACTATCCCATGCGATAGAAGAGGGCGCAGCATAGCAGCTGTTTGAAGCCCGCCCATTTAAAGAAAGAGAGTGCGCATGCTATTTGTTGTCGAAAATGAAAAAGATAGCGATAGACGCGTATATACTGTGCATCATTTCGGAGTAATTTATTATTAAAATAGAAGAATAGTTATTTAATTTTTTTTTAAATTAATTAATTATTTACGTATGTATATATTTTATATGATAATAAAATATATATACATCTTTAGTAAAAAAGGTTAGAGTAATACATGTATAATATTAATTTTGTAAATTTTATTTTTATTTTTAGAAAACAAAATAAAAAAACAACAATTAAAAAAAAATTCTTTTTATTAAAAAAATATTATAAATATAAAAAAAATTTAATTCTTTAAAATTATTCACGTTCCGAGTCATCGGACATATAACTATGATCTTCAACTTCTGAATCTTCTGCGTCATCACTCTCCGTTTCAGTTCTTTCGACAATGTCTTCTATCTTTAAAGGTGTATGGTCTCCAATAAATCCTACTGGTTTCAAATATTCATCTAAGAACCAACCGCAATTCTCAGGCTGAAGTTTCACGCATATTGGATCCGTTGCATTAAGCCACATGGAATTTATGAAAACAGTTCGTAAAATTTTTTGAATTAATGATATCCAGCATGGTGGAATGGAGTTGGAGTCGAAGCCTTTTATTTTTTTTAAAAACTGTTCGCTGTCTTCTTTAGCAGAATAATTTTTCATAAAAATGCGATATCTCGCATCATTTACATTGTTGCAGTTCTGGATACCATACATACTAGCCGTAAATTCTTGAACGATCTTCATTTTTTCATCAATGAAAATATCAGCAGCATCTGTTAATGATGCAAAAACTGTTTGATATTTTTCATTTTTTAAAAATAGCTGAAAAGGTTTTACTTTTCCTTTATTATAAAATGCTGCCGTGTAATCGCAACCTGTAAATGCATGGAAGGCTGGAAGACTTTGGCATAATTTAATTCCTAACTTCAAGGCTAAATCGGTGAGCCTGGTTTTGCTTTAGAAGCATGAAAAATAATCCTTGTATCTGCCTCTTCGTGATGACATTCATAATTAGTTTCTTCAGTTTTTTTTACGGAATTTTCTTGAACTTCATAAGAGTAGCACTGATGGTCGACGGTTAAAAAGATTTTTTTGTTTTGGATTATTGTTGCCAAACGGTCGTTTTCCCAATAATCAGCCAGAAACTGCACCAGAGCTTCTTTAAATCGATAATTTTTAAGACTTTGCAAAAAATTTTTTGGTCTAGTTTGCTGAGGTCCCGAGATGTTGTACGGAATATTGAATTCTTTTCTGCTTTCACGTTCGGAATCTTTTATTGACGGTGATAAATAGCGATCGAAAATTAAATGTATTTCTGTTGCGTTTGTTGAACATATTTTTATAAGTATTGACTCGGCAATTTTATCAAAAGTTTGAGCTATAGAAGATCCGATTAGGTGCAAGTAGTAAAAACCATCTATTATTTCAACGTTGATATGTGTTGGCTCAACCATTTCAGTTTTGGATTTCAAAATCTTTGCTAACGTTGATTTTGTAGTTTTTAACATCTCTCCAGTACATGAAAAAAGAGCAGGGGGCAATGGTGCTAGTGGAAAAGTCAGGCAATATTCGAAATTAATTTTTTTGTTCAGACTAATTGCCAAAAGTCGCCCAAATACGTCTCGTTCCATTTTCAATAATACTTTCTTGTTTTTGTCTTTGGTACTGAGGACTTTAGTCATACATTGAGAAGCAAAATTGTAGATTTTGTTTCGTTTTATAGGTTTATCGAATCTTGCGGGAGTTGAAGAGCATTCCGAGATAAAATTTAATTTTTGTTGATAGCCTGCTGTTTTCACGTTCAGCAGGAAATCAGCAACTTCTTTAGATGTAGCTTTACCCGTTGAGATGTTGAATAATATATCTTTGTCAATCGTGTCATCAAATGGATTCATCGTACATTTTATTGCTTCAATGATACTGTTCAGATTTTTTTTGTCTTTCTTAATTTTACTTTGTTGCAAGGAGTGCGAAGTATCATCTTTTTGCGTTAATCCAATATTTTGTTTGATAGATGTTAATATCTTTGTCCTCATGCTATGACTGAGCGCCCATCTTTGACGTGCAGATATTGAGTCTGCAGCAAGATTATCAGCCAATTGATTGCTAGCATCAGCGTTGATAGTCTGCTCTAGCGTCAAGTCAACTGGTGATCGAGAAAAATTTGCTGCAGTTCGTCTAATTCCAAAGGCGCCTCGACGAAATTCAGCTATCAAAGATGAATTATTGGTATACAAATTGATTAAATTGCTCAAATATAACAAGGACCATCTGGCATAATTGGGCTGGTTTAACGCAAAAAATATATCAGACATGTTGTAAATTGAGTCCACGTACAGTTCAAAATTACTGGTGCGGATACTTCTAGAAAACCGATGGTATAAATTAATTAACTCACAGTACTGGTAATAAAATTGAGCAGTTTTCCCATGTGCTCCTATCAAAGTTTGATTGCAGAATTCTTTATAACCGTTCATAATACGACTCAATAAATCTGGTAACTCTATTGTTTCGTTGACGTCATACGCAGCTTGATTTGATGCATTCTGTATTTGCGTTTGCAGCAGTTCATCCATCGCCTCAGGTGTTACATTAGTTGTGGATAAATACTGTTCAAAATGTAATATTTGTAATGCAGCAGCAGTTAAAGGATGTAAGCGCTTGCAACGATTAAAATGCTTGCTGTCTAAAAAGCTATTCGTGGAGCCGCCAGCTAATACTTCTGCTTGCACCAGTACTTCCACTAATCCACTGCAGTCAATATATTTTCCAATGGCTTTAAAAAATGCCATTTCTATGTGGAACGCCCCCAAGTTAACAAAAATATTATTGTATAGTGGTTTTTCTTGTTCTTGAATTTGCATTGCCATTTTTGCTATCGCTAAATCATATGTTACAATAATTTCTGGCTGCTGACATTTTTCAGCAATTTCTTTAGCCATGTTTAATGTTTCATTGACTATTGCATATGACGTTGGTGAAGAATTTATGGGAGATAAATACTCAATTTTTTGCTTCTCACTGTGGTCACTTGATATCATACAATTATAACCCAACCACATAGGAACAGAATCAATTCTTGACAACGACATTATCCATAATAAATCCTTATCTATTGCTATTTTCGCAGCAGCTTTGCATAAATTCATTGTATTAGTAAACGAATCTACAGTAATTAGCTGCATACTTGCTTTAGGTTTAGAATAATATGGTCGAATTTCTCGTGATATTTCACTGAAACGTCTTCTCTTGCGGGTAGGTCCTCCATTTTCGTTGTCATTTACTTCAAGCGCTGATGAAGTTGTAGCTGCACCATCATCAAAATTATCAGCTCCATTACTAGAGAATTGATAAATAATTCCAACTATGTCGTACATTGTGTCCTTTCCAGAAGTTGTGTCAACGAAACGGTCGAAATTGTCGAACGCTACGTGGGTGCTGTGTCCATTTGCTGCGATTATGCCTTTTGGTATAACTTTGTTATCTTGGATTGATGTATATGTCATTTCAGTTTCCAATTCTTCTGCCAAATTATAACCAATCGTATGGCCATATCTATTAAGTATCGTGATTACTTGCCGAGAGTTGGTTAAAGATTTCATTGCCAGTCCAAGGGTTAAACTTTTTGCGGGCTTACATGTACCCCTAGTGACAGCATAAATAATATCACTACATATTGACGTTATTTTAACTTTCAGTTTGTCCGAATTTTCATCAGAAATATTAGGTCCTTGGATAACATTTCGCATAAAATCAAATAATTGCTCAGGAATGTCACATTCTCCACGAATGATATCATCAGCAGTTACGTTACGAGGAAGCGGATGAGCATCTATATTTTTAATGCAACTTCTCAAATAATATGCAACATTTTCAAACTCATAATCATTTTTTGTCTCCAAAAGTTTGAAATTGTTTGCCATTACAGAAACGTCCATGTCTGTTTTGTACACAATTTTTTTGTTACGTATTGCAGTTGACGCTTCAATTGTAATACGATTACCAAATTTTCTAATTAATTTTTTTTGCAAGGTCAGATCGATAATCTTGTATATCATCGAAATCAATTTCATAATTTCCGAACTCTAACAGTAGAGCTTGGTATCTTAAAAATAATTGAGCCAAGTACATAACTTTGTTGTTTTCTATTATTTCTGTTTCAATGAAATTCGATATTGATTGAAAGGCCAACTGATGTAACTGTCTATATTTACTATAGCTAGAATCAGTAGATTCTTCCATGGACCGCTTCTCTTTTGATTGATACACTGCATAACAAGGCAGATGGTATGCAATAGTTTGATGTTGAAGTTTGGAAAGAATCTCTAAATCTCCAAAATTTTTCGCCATATCTTTTATCTGCTGTGGTACTTTGTCACTACTAGGGAAAGTAAGATTAATCAGCTTCTTCCCACATCTCTTTTGGCTACGATCACAAAACAGACAAATAATTTTGCTTGATGTTGATGCTGTTGATGTTGACTGCTCCTAAAAGAATTAAAAACATTCTTTAAGTAAAAATTAATGAAAAAGAATTTAATAAAAAATAAAAAATCAATTAATATATTTTCATATAATTTTTTAAAAAAGCTTAAAAAAAACAAAAATATTTTATTACCTTGTCAAAGTCGCCAAAAATTGAAGACAAGTCTTCAACATTACTCTTTTCATCATCAGCAACTGTAGCACCGGAATCGACAATAGGACTCAACTGTTCTGATTCTTTTTCAGTAGTAGATGCATTGGTATTCTCCTAAAAAAAACGATTTTTACAATTAAATAAAAATGTTTGATATATAAATCTTATAAGCTTTTTGATTTGAATAATTGATTGAAAGTATTCTTATTTAATTATGTTACAAAAAAAACGAAAATCAGATCATTTTCTTGTTTAAATTATAAACAACAGTTTTTTAAGTTAATTACAAAAAAATTATATGTGTCGAAAATTAACAAAACCACATATAATAATAAGTAAATTTTACTAACAATTATTTCAACATGAAAAAAATATAGAAGTTGTATTAGCTAAAATAATTTTAAAGATTCAATTATAATGTACTTACTGTATATTCAGCACAAAAATTATCAAATTCATCATTATATTTTTTATTTAAAACGGTCACTTTTTTATAACACATGCTATGGTAACCTAAAAATTCAAGTGACGCACCGGTTAGCTCAACAACACTGTATTTAAAGTTTTTTTTTTTACGAAAAGCTAACTTTAATACACAATTTTTAAAAGTTTCATCATTAAAATCGATTACATCACCATCCGAATCACATAAAAACACTTTTTTGCCATTTTTATCAAAAATAAATAGTAGCACGTTTTTTCAATTGTAACTACAACAACAATCTACTCCAAAATGACGCACAGTATATAAGCGTCTATCGCTATCTTTTTCATTTTCGACAACAAATAGCATGCGCACTCTCTTTCTTTAAATGGGCGGGCTTCAAACAGCTGCTATGCTGCGCCCTCTTCTATCGCATGGGATAGTTGGTTGGGACCTCTCTGTCGCACGTACTGACTCGCAGCAATATTTTAATTTTTAAAATTCGACAACCGGAATTTGGGACTGATTTTTCGTAGGCAACCCTATACCATCGTGTTTGTAATAAAATAATCTTTATTTTCACCTATATTTTATTAAATAATCATACCGGTGCAAAATGCTAATATCAACCTACCTATTTATACCTGGCAACCCGAGAGTTGTGACCGGAAAACAATAGGCAACCTAACGTTTGCATATTCTAGGGACTTCATACTTTCAATTGATGTATAATTTATGCAATAATCACGCCGGTGAAATATTCAAAAAAATATATTTTTTTAATTATTAATTAATCATACTCTGGACTGAAGTTTGCTAGGCAACCCATATGCAATAAATTTATTAACATATAAAATTATATATAAAATATGTTTTATCAAATAAACATCTCGGTGAAGGTCGTTGTATAGCGGGATCTTATACTATAAAAAAAATGACAGTCTATCAGCCAGTCCGCTAGTGAAACTCGATCGAACCTTGTCACCATAACTAACAAGACAGTTAAGAATGTATAATGAGATACACTTAAATACAATTTACCTGCAAAACAATTAAAATTTAAATACCCCGATACTTGACAAAGACATGTTAAATATTAATATTTTAGCCTTTATTTAGAACTGTTCAAAGGAAACTTCGTTCCAATTCTTGTAACCAATAATTACGTTAGCTGCACGATCATTATAATTTCTAAACGAGGGCATAAGCCGTTTAGTCGCGTTTGGTTTATAATTAAAGACTTATTTAATTACACTTGTATCGTAACCATAAAGGCAGGTAAACATATATAATAATATAAAAACTATTTTATAGACTTGTTATTTTTTATGTTATAGATCGGTGAACGCGCAGATGGACTACCTGATGGCAGGAAATCGACTCCGGGCACCCGCAACAACAGATGAGTCACGAGTACGTTGCCAACCTTTTAGGAATTTGGAGATTAAGGGATTTGGGGAGGGGAAGGATTGGGCCTCCGGTAACCTCACTCACACGGCGAAACACAGCACTGCGATTGTATCATGCCAATTTTCTGTGAGACCGTGATATCACTCCGGTCGAGCTAATCCATTCGTGCCTAAGCATGGCTTGTCTACACTTAAAAACTCATGTTACAATCATCACCACTGCCACTAGTCTCAAAACATAAAGTCATAACGGGACTTTTGTTTGAAGACGAGTTAGCTGACGAGTAAAACCAGTTCAAAATAGCATAGCTAGTAGACTCAGTTAAATAAATTTTATATATCTCCATAAATAGTAGTATCTCAATTTGATTTTGAATTTGATTATGATAAGGCTGATGGGCGACCGGTTGCAGCGAAACGTGTCCCCGGTTCGTTTCCGGCACGGAAACAACCTGTGAATGTGTTTGTAAACGCACCTACGACCCAGGAGAAAAACCTAATGTGGGACGAGCCCACTGCAACCATCCAAAACCTCTGCAACTCTTGTAAGCCAGGACCTACAGTAGATACTGTAGATCCTGAATCCTGTTTTAGTTTCAAGGTTTATGTATATACTTACAACTGTCAGTAACTCCGGTGTGAAAGTCCGCACGTGCGTTGATTTCCTTCCATTGTCCTCCGACTGTGTTTGTATTAACGTGTCACCTTCAGCCACCATCAAGGATTTCGTCTGAAAATATTATATACCTATATTTAGATTAATTATAATTATAGACCACTACTACCTTGTAACATTATTACAAAAAAATGTTTGAATAGTAACGATCATGAGACACACAAAATTAATTGTAAATAACGTTTTAATCATATGAATTAACTGAAAAAAAAAGCTTGACTAGTTTCAAGACACGACGGGACTCTTATTTATGAGCAGCGTTCGCGTCGCGGTGGCGTCGCACTACCGACTGAGCTGTTTGCAGTTAATTCACACGAGTAAATCGTTATTTTCAATTAACAATAAGGTTGCAAATATATGGGGCAAGCGAGCAGATGGTAGACCAGATGGTAAGCAATCAGTTCCGCCCATAAACACACCCAACACCAGAAGAGTTGTCACGGATGGGAAGGCGGAGAACATTTCTTGTTTAACTCTAGCTATAGGTAATATTGACAAAAGCAAAGCCAACATCAAAATAGACGGAAAATCTACTAAGGGTCTGTTCCACCGACTTCAAAAAGTTACCCGACAAACTTAAGGCGTAGACGGCTTAGCTGGGATATAACCGTATACTGAAATTAGTCTGTAAGTTTGTCTGTCAGGGTATAAACGCAGACACAGAGAAATTCTTTGCCCACAAAGCTGGTTAACCTACAACAAAACCCTAACATTATAATTTCACCTTGACATAACCTGAAACGGTATCAAATATTAATACAAGATGGCCGAAGAAATGCAGTAAAAAGTGCCCTTTCATGGCATCACCTTGATGTATTATTCAAATGTAATACGAAATTGACTGTCATATAGACAGCTTTATTATATTGTCAAGCTTAACTACCTTGTTTCTAAGTAATATTATATGTACTTTCTTAATGTATTTAGACATCACTGACATATGGTGAAGGGAAACATCGTGGGGAAACCTGATCTTATAAAAGCCAATCTGTAATCCCCACTCTATTAAAATTTAACACACATTAATCATAAAGGTCGAACCTTCTCCGTATGAGAAGAGCCCTTTGCTTAATAATGGGCACTTATAGGTTAGTGACATGATAATGTGTTTAGTACTGAGCCATGGATATAAAATTAATATAGTTGATAAAAAGAACAATTGGATTTAAATGAATGTGGATTCTGAAATGGTACACTCATTGAAGGCTTTATGACATGAAATTAAAAACTCGGGACAGTCCTGCGACAAGGCTCTGAAACTCCTCTACAGAGAAGCCAATTTGCTAAGTCTTCCCCCGCTTGATGAAGATTAGAAAAAGAGAAGATGACTTTAAAAAGGTATTTGGCAAATAATAAGTCTCTTTCGACAAACGCTGGGAGTAGTAGTCTGAAATCCATTTAAATGTAAATTTACTGCTAACCGATTACACGAGGCAATGATTTGCAGAAATTCTACAAAGCACTTTCCACGAAACATTATTATTCGATTCAGGGTAACCTTCAAGTATCTATTTTTCCGCAATTTTCATAACAAAGTAGCCATCATAGAATGTCAAGCCATTTTCTATTATTTTGTAATCAATATTCAGATTGAATAACTCCATGTATCAAACATCCATTACATTCTCATTATGGATTATTAGACCTACCAAATTTGCGTCAGTTAGGTTAATAGATGCTTTCCCTGTGGCAGAGACCCCACCGGTCCGTAAGTTCAAAATTCAAAATTTGGGTATTGTAAATTTTGCAAACGGCAATTCTACTAGGCAAACTATAAGTATTAAATTCCTCAACTTAATCAAAGAACATCAAAAAGAATACAAGTACATAGCGCAGAAGAGCGATGAATCTGGCCAACTGGGCGAGCTCAGCCGGAGTAACACCACGGTTACACAGAAATCGATGCGAGACAGAGATAGTGTCTTGCCGAAAAAGGCCGGTAAAATACATATGATTGTCGTTGTGGCTAAGGCGCCCCCTTCACTTCACAGGCATGAGAGCGAGGGTCTGAAAACTGGCAAGTACCAATGAGACTTTCTCCGAGTCATGTACTTTCTGTGACTATTCAGTTACCGCTGGCATACGGTGAGGTAAAAAATCGTGAGGAAACCTGGTCCTACCATTTCTTATAATAAGTTCGAAATCGTCAATCTGTCTTGAGCAAGGGTGTTGATTATTGCTCAAAACCTTTCCTTGTGAGAAGAGGCCTTTTGCTCAGCAGTGGGTATTTACAGGCTGATGATGATGATATTGAAAACAACAGTGAAGCTGGAAGGATGGCTTATGTCCATCAGAATTATCGATCTATTTTCCCCTATTTGCCCATCTTTTTTTTTATGTAATAGGTCGGAAAACGAGCAGACGGATTACCTGATGGTAAGCAATCAGCGCCGCCCATGGAAACCCGTAACGGAGGAGTTACGAGTGCGTTGCCAACCTTTTAGGGATTAGGGATTTGGAGATTTAGGAACTGGGGAGGGATTGGGAAGGGGAAGGATTGGGCCTCCGGTAACCTCATTCACACGGCGAAACACAACACTATCTATACTAAAGAAGGAGTTCTTCTCACCTTAACACCATCAGCTCTTTCCTCAGTGAATTCCTCGTTCAACTTGAAGCTGAAGGTGATTGTTCTGAAGGAAGTAGTCATTGTGAAGGTGTAGGTGTCTCCATCCTTGGTCAGCACTGCTACAGGACTAACGGCGCAGGCGGCCTTACGGGAGATCATGCCAACACCTGGAATGAAGATGAAGAAGTATAAGTTGGTATTACAGTCCATTAAAATGTCTTTTTAACAAAATTTGAAGTTCATTAATGTATTAATGAGGCTGTGACGATAGCCTATGAAAATTCAAATCTACTTAGGTCGGCAGGAAGATAGTAAGAAAATACCTAATAGACACACGTTTCATTATTTCGTCTAATAGGTAAATAATACTTAAACTAAACGATAGAGTGTCTGAACCATCTATGTCGTTATTAACATTTCATTTGCGATATTTTAAATTAATCGTTCTTATAGTAACATCGTTGAAAGTATTTGTTTCCGTTCGGCATCGTATTTTCACTTAATTATAATTTTTATTGAGTTTTAGAACTAATAAACTCTTTCTTTAGAAAAGAAAGAATGTTTGGTTACTTTAACTCCACAATCGAATAAAAGAATTTGACATTGCAAATAAAATGTACTGAAGTAAGTGAAATCTACAACATTTAAATAATTTGCTATTATAATTAAATAAGATGTTTAATTCATTCACATTCTAACTGTAAAATGTAACAGATACAGACCGTTACATATATTAAACAATCACGTTTTGTTAATAAAAATTAAAGTTTGAGAGTTTTTGCTCATAAAGTACTGAATACCTTTTGAAAAATCTTATCACGTCATACGTTTCATTTTTATTTCAGGAGAAAAGTCGTGAATGAAAAGCGTTGAAAACAACTTTTCTTTCAAAAAATTCTAATTTAAAATTTTATACATGGTTACTTATAATATTCTAACACTAACCAGATCTAGAACTGTACAGTTATTAGCTAAGTAATTATTGTTTCCTTGAATAAACAATGTCCTACGACATTATGGTCAATTATAGTGTTGTCATGGGTGGCCATTAAATTACACATACCACGCTGAACACTATAACTTGAGTACCTACACAATTCTATTTTATTATGAAAACACCTATTTAATAATCACTGCCTTGTTAGTGAAGCTGATAATTTTATTTTTTTCAGGGGCGTCATCGTCATCATCAAATGACTTCTCTCTTGGCGGGGAGAGAGCGAGTGTCAGACTCTTACTGACTAAAAACCACCCTGTCTTTTCTCCAGCTTGCGCTTCACCCCCTGGCCTGGGCCTATCTGCTGGGCCTCATCTGTGGTAGCTAGTATATTGACTCTTTGAGGCGCGCGTCTAAAAGGGCGGCGGATCTTTGCTTGCCGTCCGCAGACACGCGCTTATGGTGGCCGGAGATCATTTCTCGATCCCCGACACCCGGGGTGTCTCTTGCGGCAGCCGGAGCGTGATTAGAATGCTCCATCACTATTTCATTACGTGCTCCGCCTCCGTCTTTGCAAGCATCATCGCTTCGTAGAAAGAAGGGACGGCTTCCCAGTTCCTCTCGCTCCACTCCATGGCCTCAACTAACTAACTACCGGGAGCGAGAGGTAGCCGTCGCTAATCACTTTCTAGAGCACACGGCGGTGCTCATCCCAAGCTAGGCACACCGCTACCACTTGCACCACCGTGTCCTCCAGGTAGTCCTTAAGATGACGACATCCGGGCAATCACTCCTAAAGGTTTCAAAGCAACGAAAAGGAATTGTAATCTGTTCATAATCTGTTCGTCAAAATTCTATAATTTCTAAGCAATCAGGAATGCTCACAGACACCTTTATCACCAGTGGATTTAATGGAACGGGGCGTGGCCGTCCTTGGAATTGAGATTTAAGAACCACATTCACACGGCGAAACACAACGCAAGCGTTATTTCATGCCGGTTTTTTGTGAGGTTGTTGTATCACTCCGGTTGAGCCAAACCATTTTGCTGAAGTATGACTCTTCCACACTTTATATGAAATCCATAAAAAATATCTAATTTAATTCAAAATTTAGTGACAACTGCTAAAAGTTTTTTTTGTTAATATATTTTTAGCACTAACGATTATAGATACATATTCAACTGGTCTAGGCTAGCTTAGATAGATACTTAAACTGTATAGAAAAAAACTATGGACTTTGGATACTACATAATTATAATCCATCTATTAATAATGTTAATGGAAAAAATCCATAGAATTTAGACTTTGATATTATTTAGAGATGAATATAAAAAAGATGTTTTTTTATTTGTGATCTCATGCAAGAGGAAGTCGTTATGATTTCTTTGAATTTTTTTAGGTACTTGTTTGTCATGACGGATTTTTTGAGACAAAATTTTGTTATTAATAAAAACTTGTACTTATAATAAAATAAGAAAAAAAACGTTTCTTAATTTTTTTTTTTTATGTAATTGGTCGGCAAACGAGCAGACGGATTACCTGATGGTAAGCAATCAGCGCCGCCCATGGAAACCCGCAACGGAGGAGTTACGAGTGCGTTGCTAACCTTTTAGGGATTAGGGATTTGGAGATTTAGGGATTCAGGAGGGATTGGAGGCGGGGAAGGATTGGGCCTCCGGTAACCTCACTCACACGGCGAAACACAACGCTGAGGTTGTTTCACGCCGGTCTTCTGTGAGGCCGTGGTATCTCTCCGGTCGAGCCGACCCATTCGTGCCGAAGCATGGCTCTCCCACACTTAAAATAATAAAAACTCAAAAGAACATTGACAAAATCAACATCACTACCCTGTGGTTGTTACGCGTAGGTTTTCTGTGTAGCCCTAGTGTCACTCCGGCTCACCAAATAGACGAACAGATTAAAATTAATTTAGATTTTTTTAATGATTCATAAAATAAAATAAATATATTTATAAAATAAATTATTAAAAATATATTCGCGTTGATAAAGCTAGTTGTAATAAGTATCTACAAGTATCGATGTATCTTACTAATCTTTACCTATATATAAAAATGGATTGCAAAATGTGTTGGTAAGCGCATAACTCAACAACACCTGGACCAATTTTGCTAATTCTGTTTTTGTTTTATTTGTAATAGTCAGGAGAAGGTTCTTATCAAAGAAATTATTAGAAAAGTAGAGGGGAAGATTAGGAAAAAACGACTCTGTGATAGCAGGATAGTTGAACCCGTGCGAAGCGGGGGCGGGCCGCTAGTATTGTATTATAAATGCAAAAGTTACGATGTTTGGATGTTTGTTACTTAATCACGCCAAACCAGGTGGACGGATCTGGATGAAATTTGGCCCAACATAGGATACACTCCGGAATAGGACGTAGGCTACTTTTAATCAACATACGACGCGGGTGAAGCCGCAGGCGGTAGCTAGTTTTCAATACTTTCTATTACCTAAAAATGTAATAAAATGTTAACTCACCAATGAACTTTAAATACTCTTCGAACTGGTCCGAGGATTTCAGCTTGTATTTTACGTTGATATATTTATCTATGCTCACCATCTTGAAGTCTGTGTTCAGACGCGGTCAGCTAACGACTAAACGTTTGAGATTCTTCTTAGCTACGCGACTCTGAAAGCAAAATAAAAATATAATCACTACATAATATAAAACAAAGTCGCTTTCTCTTTCCCTATATCCATATGCAATGTATGCTTAGATCTTTAAACAGCTCATAGCTCTTAAAATGTTTTATTTTTATGGCAGTGGAAACTTTAGAATTATTAAATGTTTATTTTTATTTTGATGTATATTGATTATGTTTTTCTTATAAAATTTCTAAGATTTTTATGTGACATTTCTAAGATTATTATTTTTATGTGATAAATATTTTTCTATTTTAATTTCTCTTGGACATGTTTCTTTATTTTCTTTGACTATGTAGTTTAATTTTTATGATCTTAATTTTAAATTTCATTATGTATTATATTTAATTAATGAGAATAATGAATATTCATTATTCTCAAATGTTTGACAAGTATAACAATATAAAACGCATTGGGTGTACACCTGTAAAGATTACCTATATTGTAAACTTAAAATAAATAAAAATAAAACTACGCAACGGATTTTGATACGGTTGTTTTAATCGAAAGAGTGATTAAAGAGGAAGGTTTTGATGTATAATAACATCTGTCAAATATAGTGGAGAAATTTAGTATCAACATAGCCCACGTGCGAAGCCGGAGCAGGTCGCTAGTGAATGTTGATTTTGATTTTTTGATTGATTAAGGCACTCTTTTCTTACGCATGTCTCTTAGGGTTGATTTTTCAATGGTTAGATAAAACTAACCTGGGGTATAATTATGATGCTGTCGCGTCAGAATGTTTGTATAAGACAGAGACAGGAACAATTTTATTCCTCAGATAACATTTATGTAACTATTTAAAAATCAGCCCTTACTAAAACCCATTTCAACTCCTTCTCCGAGTTTTTATGCTACAATCTTATCTCAAGAATATCCAACCTTCTAGCCGGTAACGACTCAACATATTACCGATTCACAAGTTTTCTTATAAATTACTGAATCAATAGTGATAAAAACATTATCATTTCCTAAAAGCACAATAAATAATAAGTTTCTAAAAATAAACGTTAATCATCCGATTTTTAGTTCCAAAGAAATATAAACGCATACATATAAAAAAGTCATGTGTTTAGTAGAACGGGCTAAAACAATGATATTATTATCATAGTTGATTAGTTCCAATTTCATGAAAGCGATTTCATAGATAAACTTGTCTGAGTCAGTTAAAAATATCGGTAAAATTATCAGAACATATTTTTCCTACCTAATTAATCATACAGGTACATTTCCTTTATGATGTCATATTTATTATTACATTTCCCTCTGTAATAGTCTTTAGAAAATGAGGGTGTCTTTAAGGTCCGAGTGAATAAGTTGCTTATGGGCTGGCCCTTTTTTTATTAAAATATTTTTTTTTTTGTTAGGAGATAATCATCAAATGACTTCTCTAGGGAGTGTCAGACTCTTACTAAATAAAAACGCCCCTGTTCCTTCTCCTGCTGTAGGCCGAGGTCGCGGTGCCTCATTTCGCTTACCCCGCAACTCCAGCTGATGGGCAGGCGTGCTCTATCGTAATTTACCACCAGGCGAGACAGCGGGCAAAAATAGTTACCGGGCACAATCATTACTAAGGAATAAGTACCTACGTAGCTTAAATAATCATTAAACATGTTTGAGTAAGCCAGTAAGAAAGCTGTTATTTGGCATCTACCTACAATCATTGTGGAGCATTGATGCATGCATTCTAGATGTCAATAACCTTAGAAATCTCGTTTGTGTCCAATTAGCGACTAACACTTCAGCTCTATATAAAAATAAATAAAAACATACTTTTATATATGTATTTTTATATATGTATATAAATATATACATATATAAAAATAAATGCTGTTCCTTAGTCACACCAAATCTCGAGAATTACTGGTCCGATGTGGCTACTTTTGGCCTTGAAATACCTATATGTAGGAGTCTAGGATAGGTTTAAAAGGTCAGAAAACTTTAGTTAATTTTGAGGTGAACGAAGTTAGCCGGGTCAGCTAGTATTTTTACAAGTACCTATAGATAAAAAAAATAGTGAAATTTACACATGCAATAAAGCAGTAAGTATACCACCTTCTTTAAGAGAAGATTTGTCAAAATTCGTACGAAAAAGATAGAGAAAAAAAACAAGAATTAGTTACTTAGAAATCCGTAGACGAAACCGAGTTAAATGAATTTAAAAATAATGAATAACAGTTCTAAAAGGTCAACAGTTTATTGACGACAACATTTTATATAAATAAATTAATTAAAATATTTTAAAATGAAACTTATACGTTTGTTTTTAGAGTTCAAAGTTTCCATTCAGCGTGATTAAATCTAACAAATGGATTATATTAATCCTATCAAAATAATTTTACGATTTTATTTATTATTGATTAGCAAACAAGCCTTAAGGTAAGCAATTGGGGCCGCTCATGGACACCCGGAAGACCAAGGGAGGTTCAAGTAAGTGGCTCGTTTTTTCTCTTAAATCTCTAATGCTGTGGTTGCTTCACGCCGGTTTTCTGTGAGGCTGTGGTATCACTCCGGTCGACCCGACCTGTTCGTGCCAAAATATGGCTTTCGTATCTGCATGTATCGTTGTATGATCCACAAATTTTTGTTTTACATCTGGGTCTGATGTGTATTTCGAATTTAATGTATGTTTGTCAACCCAGTGGGGCAACGTTATAAAAAAAGAGAAAATATTATGCTTCAATATATAGTTCTAAATCTATGGGCCTCCAAAATAAGGCTTCGTCATTATCTTCACAAAGGCAAGTACGAGTAAAAAAACGCAGTTTATCCACAGCGTAAAGAATGAGTTTACTACATGTAGGTATGTATTTGCCTTTTAAAATTATTCTTTATAGACCTCTATCATATACGGTATCATCAAAGACTAGACCAAATTTCGAAAAAATACAATCTTTTTTCCAACAGTGCTATTTATGTACCTAATCCAGCTAGATAGCCCTTACTAGGTTATCGATCTTCACAATTCACAATAATCGAAACAAAAAATAAATAATTGTTATTAGTGTCATTACGTTGTAAATACCAGCATTCTCAAGCCACCTGTTATGTAAATGTTTATTGTTAAAGCATAATTAGCTACGTGATAAATTATTAATTAAAAGGCATTATTATGCTAAAACATTTGTTAGTAATAAGATTAATATAAATCTGATTTTTATTCTCTTATTGTGTAACCTAATTCAAGCAAAAAGAATAGGATTTTACCAAACTATAATATTCACAGATTTAACGCCCTTTTTTCTATGTAAACTTTTGTGTGTGTTTATGTTATGTAGGTAGCGAAAGTGCTTATTTAAAAAGCTACTAACACAGCTCGTAAAATCTGCAGTGTCGTCAGTGCATTAGCAGTGTGTTGCTTGCACGTTGCTAAAAGGACGGGTAGCAGATGGGCCCGGAAAGTACTGGAGTAGCGACTACGGATTCAGTTAATCCCATCTCCATAGCAATCTCGCAAAGAAGGAAGCGGACCGCGTGAGAGAGCTATCCTTATCCGCACGCACCAACGCCCCAGCCGTCGGAGATCAAGAGATGGTCTCCGGCCACCGTAAGCGTGGGTCTGCGGACGCGAGTAAGGGTAGCTCGCCGCCCGACCAGAACCAGACCCGAGCGTATTGCGCATAGCGTCCCGCGCGCGCCCCAAGTATTAATAAACTACCACAGACGACGGATCCCTATAGGGCTGATGTTTAGCCGGGATTGCGGGGCAAGCGTAATAAGACACCGCGACCGTGGCCTAGAGCAGGAGAAGGAACGGGTGGAGGGGGGGGGTTATGTTTAGTCAATAAGAGACTTCCTCTCGCCTCACCTTGGGCGGGAGAAGTCATTTGATCATTTTCCTCTGACAAAAAACCCCAAAGCAATAAAAGGATGAAAAGAATCAGTAAAACGTAGACCTTGACCAAACAAAGTTGGACCTGGCACTACTTTCGTAAACGGAAAAGCGACTTTTTGACTTGGAATAAGACGCAAATGAGCAGACAGATCATCTGATTGTGAGCATTCAGCGCCTTCCACGAACACTCGAAAAGTCAGAGAACTCACACATGCATTGCGGACCTTTCAAAAATGAAAACGCTCATCGCTTAAAGATTTGAATAGAATAATAGTTTGGATATAATTAAGTGTGGGAGAGCCATGCTTCGGCACGAATGGGTCGGCTCGACCGGAGTGATACCACGGCCTCACAGAAAACCGGCGTGAAACAACCACAGCGTTGTGTTTCGCTGTGTGAGTGAGGTTACCGGAGGCCCAATCCTTCCCCTCAACCAATCCCTCCTCAATCCCTAAATCTCCAAATCCCTAATCCCTAAAAGGTCGTCAACGCACTCGTAACTCCTCTGTTGCGGGTGTCCAAGGGCGACGCTGATTGCTTACCATCAGGTAATCCGTCTGCTCGTTTGCCGACCTATTACATGAAAAAAATATAAGTAATTCTTTTTCTGACCTGAAATCAAACTGACTGAAGATCTTATGATCAGGAGTTATATTTTAAAATGTATGTCCGTAGTTCGGATTACGATACTTTGACAGACTTACGATAGTATCAGATTATGCTTGTATTTATTGTGACGCCAAAGAGGTAACAGACATGACAGACAACTTGCAAAAAAAATGCTGAGTCATGTTTCAAAGTCAAACATATTAGAAAAAACAATAAACCTCTTTAGTTAATCTACGACGCGTCGATTATTTAAATTGAAATTTGAAGGAGGTTTTATCACAATTCATCGGACTAACTATAATCGTACTCTGGCGGAACGTCAAACTGAGAGTTCTGCGTGCGCATTATGGTGGAGAGCGAGCTCTGTGACTGTCATGGAGACGGATCGCCGACGTCCGTTATTTTTGTAATTTATTCGGTCTGATTATAAAATCCTACGCCCTGCGATGGACTGTGAAGACGATGATGGGGTTGCTGATGTTTGTACCAACCCCCCGGTGCCTTCATATATTTACTCATATTAGAAGGCTGTAGAATTTGTTTGTTTGTTTGCACGTGCTAATCTCCGGAACTACTGGTTTGAATTGAACAATTCTTTTTTGTGTTCGTTAGTCTATTTATCGAGGAAGGCTATAAAGTGTTACGCTATAATATGTAGGAGCCGAGGAGCAGGTGAAGCCGTGGGTCAGTAGCTGGTTAGTCATAAGTATGATTACTAAACAACATAGCCACACTTAGGTTCTCTCTAAATAAAATTTACATTATAGTCCAGATATAACATTATCTACTATCGCATAATGTTTTTCCAAGGATTCTCTAGAGTTTTTCCAAGGATATTGAAGTCGGTATTTTCGAATGGATTGACTGTCTTCTAAGGCCAATAATCCGTAAAATATAGTCTTTGTTTTGATCATAATTAAACTGGCATAGCCAATTATCACAAATGAGGCCCACGATGTCCAGCTGGAGTAGTCAGTGCAAGCGCAATTATGTACCACGGCGTCGGACCGGAGCAGGAGAAGGAACGGGTTGCTTTTTAGTCACTAGAGTCTGTCAATTGCTCTAGCTGCACTCAGGGTGGGAGAAGATAATTGATACCTTTCCCCTTCATAAAAAAGAGTAAGTCAACATTGTGATGACAAAATGAAATGAAGCTAAAATATAACGGAATATAATTTACTTTTTAAAGATTAGCTGTTCATACATACCCATTATTTTTATGTATATCTTTTAGCAAATATCTACACTGGAGACACAATATCAACAAATTTTAAAAATAAATATGTACTTATAATTTTAATTCTAGTTAAGTTAAGTTAAGTTAATTTAAGTTCTATCTAGCTTCTCTTTCACTTTTGGTTTGATATTAATTTAAGCAAGTGGTGTTCACCTTTAAGTGATTGTTACACTTTAATATTTTTGTTAAGCATGTACTTTATAATTGATATTGTGTAAACAATTGTTGGTGAACCTATTATAATAAAATAAAATAAAATAAAATAAATTAAAAAAATAAAAAATAAAAAAATTCCGCTTAATAAGCGTCAAGCAAATGAAACAGGGTATACCTCCGTCCTTCTTAAAAAGAAATTAAGTAACGTACCAATATTATATTGTCAAGTTCAAAAAGATTTTATAACACCAAAAATGGATAGCTTAACTTTTCTAATCTTGAGTTAATATTTAAAATACATATTATCTGTAATCTTAACCCAACCCAAGTTGACTCAGAAAATGACAAATTGTAAAGAACTTATCTATTAGTGAGATCTTGAAATAATTCAATAATTAAATTATTGAAAAAAAAAAGGTTATATCGTAAGATATAATTCTAAGTGTGGGAGAGCCATGCTTCGGCACGAATGGGTCGGGTTGACCGGAATGATACCACCGCCTCACAGAAAACCGGCGTGAAATAACCACAGCGTTGTGTTTCGCCGTGTGAGTGAGGTTACCGGAGGCCCAATCCTTCCCCTCCCCCAATCCCTCCTCAATCCCTAAATGTCCAAATCCCTAATCCCTAAAAGGTCGGCAACGCACTCGTAGCTCCTCCGTTGCGAATGTCCATGGGCGGCGCTGATTGCTTACCATCAGGTAATCCGTCTGCTCGTTTGCCGACATATTACACAAAAAAAAAATTATCCTATCATTTTTAAAAACGAAATCATCAATCAATAAATGATAATTTATTAATTTTTCAAGCACAAATTCGCCCATTTGTAGATAACAGTTCATAAATTCACGTTCCGTCAAATAATTATGTTTATTATTGAGGAACTAATAATAAACTGCTTGTATTTAAATAATGTCCATCATAACAAAAAACTCGTCAGTAAATTAATTGAGAATTAAAAGCAATACACAGTTAATATTTTCCTCAATATTATTTAACAATACTCAAGGACCTAACATCATAACAAGAACAAGACAAATTAAAAAAGGATTACTGCTTATAAATAAAAATTTACAAAGAAAACTCACCAATAAAAAAAAGAAAACCAATCACTAATATTTTTTTTTATTTACCACACAAAACCTCACACAGACTAAAGCTATTGCCCAACAGCTACTAAAACAATTCTTTGCGTAACGCGTCAGTCCAGTAAAGTAGTATGATATATAATAAAGCGGTTTCTACATCAGCGCACGCGCCGGCAACTAATCGAAACGCGTGATCGTACTTTGCACTTCGCGCGTCGTCGGTTTGTAACCTCTTTTAAACTAGGCATAACGTGAATACCTATCGCTTGCGTTTAAAAAACAGTTTGACGTTTTAAATGTCAAAATGACGTTAGAGGATGTTTTGTACAATTTTTATTGAAATAAGTTACAATTTTAATTTGATTACAACTTCGTATGTATCTTTTTTAGAATTTTGCTTACTTCAGCAACCTTGGAGAAAATTAACCATACCCTATGGCTAATGGATTCCATCAAAACTATTTACAATAACGTTTTTTCCAGTCAACGATACCTGTATGACAGGAAAACCACAATTCACATACTTCCACTGAAGACGACACAACGCTTGATTAACTGTGTCAATTTAGCTATTTGTTTTTATGAAATACCTAAGAAATTACTTGAAACGAAGCCGGGTACACTGGTAGTGTATTTTAAGGAACATTAGTTTTACGACAAATACACACTAAAAAACAAATCGCTTTTTCTAGAAACACAACACACCAGACTTCCTTCTCAATTAATCTCACTAGCTGTCCTCCAAACTGGACCATGATTCCGCATCACCGTTTTAACTAGTTATATGAATGCGTCATAACCATTATGGAAAAAAGTGGAACAAATGCTGACCATGTTGACGCGACGAAGCGTATGAAGTATTTCAAGGTCAAACCTACTTATTTTAATCTGACATATTAATATGGAGATTAAATACATAATTATCTACCGGTAATGCTTCGTTGGATGTCAGTATCACTTGTGTTCCGTTCCAATTTCAAAATTTGAAATTTGATTATCGAATGGCTTCTGTGCTAGGGATGCGACGTTGAAACCGATTGTACAAAAAACGAACAGAAAAGAATGAAATGAAATTATGGATATTTTATGCTTCAGATTTTGGCCGAAATAACACCCTGATTAAACCAATGCTCAAATCCTTCTGTTAAGCATAGGATCTTTGGGACTGCTCAGCAGTTGACAATGGCATGTTGATGAAACCACTACAGTAGAAATCCAACCAGAACCCAAACGAGCCATATTTTAGGTCATCTTCAGACATCCTTGCTAGATAAGTGCAAATTTCTATGTTTTTCTTTTATTGAGGTCATTGCTATCTGTCTGGCATAGATTAATTGTATCCCGTTACTTTCTTTAGCAAAATTCGAATTATTCAATCAAATAACACCACAGAGGCTTTATTAAAAAACCAAGAATCTAAAGCCAGGTGTTTATAGTTGTACTACTCAATCAACGCAATTGTAACAGCGGCTTTACCATCGATAACTTGAGATCATGATCGACACTTCACGATTGCGATAATTGAACACTTTGTGTATTTATTTATTTATCTTTTTAGCTAGACGATATCGATATTACGCAATCGATTCAAAATTTACAACATTCTGTAAATTTTTGTGTTAGCGACCTTGGAATCAGAGTCATTTTGTCTACAGATTTCGATTCTGATTTTAAATTCGAGATTATAGAAGCTAAGAGAGCAAAGGATTTTGGACTTTATGACGACGACGTACAGAATGTCTGGAATTGCAGAAATATAAATAGTTACACTTATTATTTACTATATAGAGCTCAAAACGTACAAGCTTAAAAGTGGGAGTAACATTTTATTTAGTTAATTTAATAAAGTATTTATGTCAAGGCAACTAACGACCGAAGGATCACCCGATGATAAGCAATCGGCAATTGGGTAGTTTCCTAGGTCAAAAATAAATTATTTCGACGTTTCAATACAATAAAATATTGAAAAATAACTATACTTTTATTCATCGATCGATCGATATACTAATTTTTACATTTTATTTAGCTTATTAATAAGAAATAAGTTAGCTACTTGACGCAAAAAAGTTATGACGTCATCATAGCTCAGTTTTACATACAAATTTCATAGAAACGTATCGTTTTTGACGTTTGGATAAAAGTATTGAATTTGACTAGTTGGAAACTACCGTATTGGCGCTGCCCACGCACATTCGTAGAGGTGATATAAGAACGATGTCGGCCTTTTCTGGACTGTTAGCGACCAGCAGATATAGGATGGTGTGGGAACGGATTGAATCTTCCGTAATCTTACACCCAGCAAAAAGTATCGCAAATTTTGTTTCACGCTGATTTTCTGTAAAACCGGTCCAACCGGCCAATTGGTGCCGAAGCATAGCTCTACCACAAGCAAAGAATAATAATCCTAATATAAATAAAATTAAAAAGTTTATAAACTTATGAAACCCCTTTTAAAACCAATGCAGTTTTAATCAATGTTAAGAAGCCACATACATAATAGCAATTACTTAGACATAAGTACAAACATATAATATGTAAGTATGTATTTATGTAGAAAACAATCTCATTACAATTTAAATTACGGAAAACTTCGATGAAACCATATAAGTTTATTTTAACCTAAGCGACGGCGGTAAAGAATGCGTTAGGCCTCGTCTCCGTTTAAGCGGCGCGTTGTGCGGTGCGATGTGCGGTTCGTCATACATTGCTCGTGATGTTCATATGTTTGTGTTTGCACGGCCGTTGATACGACTTGATGCTGTAATGTACGACAAACGAAATACGCGCCGCGCAACGTCCCGCGTCTACGTAAACGAGACCTTAGTCATCAGCCCGGGGGTTGTGGGTTTAAGCGCCATAATGTACTTCGGCCTCAGCACGGAGCAGGAAAAGGAACAGGGTAGTTTTTAGTCAGTAAGGGACACTCCCTCTCACACCTCTTAGAAGAGGATTAGAAGAAGGCATTTGATGACTTTCCCCCTTAAAAATGTTCTTCTTTTTGCGTGAGTATCGTAAAAGCTAACTAACAGACGACAAATTTAACAGGGTATTTCTGTGCCAATATTTCCATCAAACTACTTTTTTAAAGACTAACAATACTGTTTTGTTTTAATTCCTGGTTGGTGATACTAGTCGGTGCTGATCTATGACCATAAAGCGATAGACCTGTTCGAATGCCTGTCATTGCACAAAAAAAATGCTATGTACACTCCACTGCTGGCTAAATATACTACCGCATTTTATATATTTGATATGTCGGCAAACGAGCAGACGGATTACCTGATGTCAAGCAATCAGCGCCGCCCATGGACACCCGCAACAACAGGAGTTACGAGTGCAATGCCGACCTTTTGGGGGTTAGGGATTTGAGAGACTTAGGAATTGGGGAGGGGAAGGATTGGGCCCCCGGTAGCCTCACTCACACGGCGGAACACAACGCTGGGGATGTTTCACGCCGGTTTTCTGTGAGGCCGTGGTATCACTCCGGTCGAGCCGACCCATTTGTGCCGAAGCATGGCTCTCCCACACTTATAAAAATCTAGATATACTAAAAATACCAGAACAATATATGACACTATGTGTGAGCTTCAGCCGGGGTGGCAGGGTAAGCGCAATAAGGCACCGCAGCAGGCACCGCTGCACAATAAGCAAAGAAGCAGGAGAAGGAACGGGGGTTTTTAGTCAAAAATAAAAAGAAGAAGTCACAAGAAGTTTTTTAGAGACCGCACGGTTGGCGCGGTGGTTAGGCAACTGGCTGCAGCGCAATGTGTCGCGCTTCTGGGAGTGATGTGTATGTGAAATTTTGTTTTTGTAAACGCACCAACGACACAGGAGAAAATCCTAGAGCGGGAAAACGTTGTTTTTAAAAAAGAAAAGAATATTCTGACAATCCCTCTCAATTTATTTATTTATTTCTTCTTTATACAAAACAGTCTGAAAGGCGGACTTAATGCCTTAGGGCATTCCCTAACAGCCAACCATAGGGCAGTGTAGAGAATTCTTGCGGTTGGTGCGAAGCAAGGACACAGAGTCCTAGAACAGAATGAAAGGGGAAAGAAAAAGGAAGAAACAATTCACCCTGAGCGCGAGAAGGCATTATATTATTTTTCTCTTACAACAAAATGTTTTAGCTAGACTTTATATTGTTCGGGTAATTTTAAATTATTACATTCCTACAGTTATAACAACTAAAATGTCGTTAAACCAGTCAAGCTAGAACTAGTCATGCGCGTCCATTTACCCAGTTGTTAAATGACTACTTTATACTGCAATTTAGTCGTAGTGACTCGCCTTGAGACTTGATTTTGATCAAAATGAGTTACATAGCTTGCAGTAAGGCTATTATTTTACTATTTTAACAAGTTTTTTATGAGAAATAGAGACAATGGTTTAAAACGGGAGAAGAATGTAAGAAGAGGAGTGTGGAAGAGCGGTGCGTGAAGCAACACGAACGTTGAGTTTCGCTGTGTGAGTGAGGTTATCGGAGGGCCAATTTCTTCCCCTGTCCCCCCATCATCATCATCATGTAGTCCACTGCTGGACATAGGCCTCCCCAATTGCACGCCACTGCGCTCGATGTTCAGCTCTTCTCATCCAACCACTGCCAGCCACCCTGCGGATGTCGTCAGTCCACCTAGCTGGAGGGCGCCCTACACTAAATTTGCATAGACGTGACTCTCCCCCATCCTCAATCCTCAAGTACCCTGTCCATATTCCCGAATAATCCACAAGAGGCCGGCAACGCATTTGCAGTGTATGTACATGGGCGCTGATTATTTACCATCAGGTAATCCTTATGGATTTGCCGATCTATGACATAAAAACACTTTCATCAAATCCCAAGTGAACGCCAGTATTCGCATCTATTGTTCCTCTATTGTGTCTCTGATACCACAATCGAAAGGTTAAGCCATGTTCGAATAAGATTCCTTGTGTAAGGGCTTTTTTGTGTGAAAGCATTATGATTTCTCCTAACCTGGGTGGGGTAGGTAGTGTCAGACTCTTACTGACTACAAACCAGAGTGGTTTTTTTGGTAGGTCCTTCTTTTTCTCCGTGTGGGGAATGTTGTGCATTTTTATACATTCTTGCACCTGCAATTAATGCTAGTTTCCTTGGTGGTAAGCAATCGGCACCAACGGGGATACATCCGCAAAACGTTAGGGATTTGAGGATTATAGAGTTTGGGATTGGAGATCACGGAGGAGGATTGGTAAGTTGCCTGATGAGAAAAAAAGTTTTGTTGTCA